TGGAGTTTGAAATGAAGATGGGTTCACATGCTGTGGTCATGGAATAACCAATACAACCAATATATGTTGATATTTTCTTTATTGACAGACACCCAGTATTCAAAAGATCAAGAAAATTGATATGCAACCTTAGTCTTTTGCAAAATAATTTTTAGTAGAGAAGTTTTGTTAGTAACCACATGGCTTTGAATATCTCTTTTTCTCTTTTAACTATCTGCAGAAGTTATTTCTCTATGGATTATATTTTTCTTATTAACTTCTATATAATTGGAGGGCATTTGGCTATAATGAAATTTTTTTTTTTTTTTTTTTTTTTTGGGTTTAACTTGAATTTATTGTGTATGACACTTTGATTAGTTGTTCATCCTGGGTATGTCTATAAGTTAAATCTTGCAAGGCCTCTGATCAGGAGCTTTGGAGGAGCATAGAACCATTAGGTTAATTGGTGTTATCAGGTCCACCCTGACCCAAGGTGGTAGCACCTGTTAGTGTTTCAGCTATGGACAAACTGAACCCCCAAACTGGGGTCAAAGCATGAAAATATAAAAAAATTAGAAAAAATTACCAGCAATACATGGTGGGGGGGTCCTGTGAAGGTCTTGGCTGATGGAACTAAGGAATATAACTCATTAGGAAATTTTGTCTCAGTGATAAGAGTGTGAAAGGTTAGCAACATTTCATCTCTGGCTTAAAGGTTGCAGGATGGAGTATAATTAATTACCCATAACCCTTTGTAATCACTTTTGAACTTTGTCGAGGCTGGACAGTGAAGATTGGGCAGAACCAGACCAGATATAGCAGCAACACTTCATTCTTGGTCTGATCTGACTTTTGTAAAAATAGAGCATGTCATCAGGAGTTGGGTATTTTCTGGAGTAATACAAGGAACTAACCAGTGTTTCTAGCCTCTTTTGTGATGGTACAGATTTTTAGAAGATAGACCTTTTACCTCTCCAAACAAAGTGCTATATATAAACACTTATCATGACACTCATTCTGGTTATTGTCATATTATGGTAAAAGATATATCTGTATTCTGCCAATTCAACTGCACAAAAAAAAAAAAAACCATTATAAATTTTGAAGGCTCTTTGCATCAAATATGGCAACCCATCAATAAAATCTTGGCATGCACATGTTAAAATGTCTTTTCAACCATAGTCATTTTAGTCTCATAATGCTAAAATCTCACACCAGTAGAGCAAGTATCTTTTCAAATACAATTTTTTTTTTTTTCTTCCAGCACTGAACGTCCAAAAATTATGACCAACATTTTAGACAACATTGGTAACACTCCGCTTGTCCGCATCAATCGAATCACTCAGAAGGAAAATATACAATGTGAAATCTGTAAGTGGTTTTCTGTTTTTCTATTTTTGTTTGTTTGTTTTTCTTTTCTTAGTAACATTGTACTTTTAGATGGATGTTAGAACATTTTTTTAAATATAACTTTTATTGAGATCACAAGTCAAGTAAAAGTTCTGTTTTCATTACTTAATCAACAGTGCCCTTTTATAGTCATTTGTCGCTTATATTATTACCTACTAAGACTGTTTTTTTACATTTAGTAGCAAAGTAATAGTTCTTAGTAACACAATCAAATTTTTTAAAATAAGAAAATTTCTCAGCTCACCTTAATAAATTCCTTCACTTTCTGTGACAGCCAAAGTTCTAATAACATAGAAAAATCAGTAATTTTGTAACTAGCAACTTAATTGAAAATTTTTTTTCTTAGTCTGTAGTTGAATTGGTTAAAAGGTTTTCAGGTAAAACAACATAGTATGAAGATTTAAAGTAAAAAGGTGACAAGATAACTGTAAATCTATTCCCTGTGGCTGAATTGGCTAAAGCATTGTCCATAAAAGATGAGCTCCTGTAGTTGAATTGGTTTGTTCTGAAGGGACATGACACATGAAAGAAGTTGAATTAGAGCATCATTTGGGAATGTCTGGTGACTCTACAAGTGCTACTGCTACTATTTAAGCCAGTTCTACCTGTCACATGATGAAATCATTAGTGACTAAACTGGTTCCTTCATCAGGCTTTTCTGGTTTGGAGGGTGGCTTTAATACCAACTAGGATTAAAAACCTGTCAAAGAGCAGATGAACCTTTTTTTTTTTTGTGTCAACAGCCATCTTGAACAATGGTGTAGACTGGGCTCCATAGCTATGGATGGAGTTGGTGTGGTGGTGACACAGCATTCTTGAATGGAGGGCTTTCAAGACTGAAGTCAATGGCCACATATCTGTAAGCAAGATGAGCATTCAAGTTGGAAGACATTGGTAGTGGTTTGACCTAAGAAGTGATAGGTTCCACCAGGTCTACTTGCCCAAGACATTACATATGAATGAATACCACTCTGAATTTCAACCAAGATATATGGAAGGAACTGGTCTGGTGCTCAGCTTTGCAGCAACCCTCTGACTTTACTATTTACTAATTGCTAAACAGGGAGAAGTGATTTCATGCTGTTTCCAAGGACATTAATATGAAGTGAATTCAGACTGTCTGATCTGGGGTTTGAACTTAGTTTGCTAAATCCATTCTTTGTGTGATTAACCTTTACCAGCCACATAATCTTAGATCATGATTACATCCTTTGTATCTTCAGAATATTTCAGTAAAAATAATTTGCAATAAATTACACAACACTTATTTTGATTAATTGTGTTACTTAGAACTATTACTTTGCTACTAAATGTAAAAATAGTCTTAGTTGGTGACATATAAGTGACAAATGGCTATAAATGGACAGTGTTGATTATTTACTACTATTTTGTTTAAATAAGGCACTGGCTATTGTTTGTGTCATGTAGCAATAATTGTAAATGAAATAATACACTAAAATAAGTAACCAAGTAATCCTTTTAAGTTCTCTGAATATCAGTGTTAGAAAAATAATTCTTAAAAGTGAAATATCCCGAGGATTTATTATAGATGGATTTACATATTTGAATTTCAGTGGCAAAATGTGAATTTTTTAATGCTGGTGGAAGTGTGAAGGATAGAATTGGACTAAGGATGGTAGAGGATGCTGAGGAGAAAGGCATCTTAAAACCAGGAGATGTATTGATTGAGCCAACATCTGGAAACACAGGTGGGTTTTTTAATATTTTTGCTATCACACACTACAAACCATGACCTACTTTTGAGCTAATAAGAAAAGAGATTTTAGCTATGCAATATTGACAAAAGTTTTCCGTGAATAGATTAATAAAATTGTGGAAGGATGGGTCATGCAATAGTAATTTTCTTTTAATTGAAACATTTCACCTATATTAAGAAAAAAATTAAAACTACACAGTTACTTCCCCTGCGTGATTTTTATTGATAATAGCATTCTCAGATATATATATATATATATATATATATATACTCTTGAATGGCTTCTAATTTTTTTACTGAAATCCAAAGACATATTTCAAAAGCTAAGCAGTATTAAGAGATAGAATAACTTTGTTAGAAATGAAGAAAATACTGAACAGTTATATGGTATGTGTCCTCCTGTATGGCAGTGAATGCTGGACAATTTCCTCAAAGATGAAGAGACTTGAGGTAGTAGGAATGTGTTTCTACAGAAAGATGCTAGGGCACTGAACAATGATGAGCTTTTAATGAAAACAAAAAGTACACTTATACTTATCAGGAAGAGATTTGAAATTTCTGGGGCACATAATGAGAAAGGAGAATCTGATACTTGTGGGACAGAGGAAGACCATACATAACATATTTGATGAGCTTGTGAAAATGGATGGTGTAACAGGTTTTAGAAATAATGAAAAGACTGAATTTATTTAGAACTGCAAGGGACAGGAAATTGTGGAGAACCATGATCGCTTATGTCCTCACAAAATACAGCACATTAAGAAAATAAAATTAAAAATGTGTCATGAAGACTGATTGGATAGATTCCAGTAACGATCTTTTTCTGTGTAGGCAACTGACGCATTGTGTGTGACTTGTTTTTGTCCTTTAGGACATGATTCAACCAAGTTGATGCTTATGTTGATACATTGATACAACTACACATGTGCATGAACTATATATATATATATATATATATATATATATATATATATATATATATATATATATATATATATATATATAATATATATATATATATATAGTTTTAAGGTGTGCTATATTTAGGTATCACAGATTAAAATTTCAAACAGGTACTAGGTGTTATCTGATTGCATCTTCTTAATCTACATGATTAAACAAACTTAGTGGTTTTTATTTTATCAAAATATCTCAAACCGTTTAATTTTGGCAGATTTATTTTTATACATGTGCTTGACTTAGCCATTTTTTGTCTATTATGACTTAGGACAAAATACCATATTTGGACTCCTATATTTTAAAAAGCAAAAGTTAAAATTATTCTAGCTTCTTAGGTACATAACAAAGAAATTAATAATAAAATTACAGCTAGTATCACTGCCTATATCTTAAATAAATTCAGTCTGAATATGCAAATTTTATAAATCAAAACTTCTGCAACGACATGCAAGCAACTCATAACCTGAGGTTTGATATTTCATAAAACTGGAAATAAGACCCACATTCATCCCAAATTTCCAATATCACATTATGATTATACCAGTAATATGCCTAATTTTTTAGGGAGTGACAGAATGGATATATTCTGGATTATTCCACTTCAAATTTGAAAAAAATTGCTTTTTAACCTTTTGTCACAAGGTATTTGAAAAGCCGATTTTAGACTTGCTTGAATTGTGTCATAAAATGAATACTTCTTACATTAGAAACACCAAATTTCATATTTAGCCATTTCTGGGGGTGCTCTTTCCATTTATCATGGTTTAAATGACCTAAAATCAACAGATTAGAATGTATATGGAGCAGATGCTGAACAAGTACAATCCTGACTCAACATGTACAATTTCTGGACTGTAGAGAGAGAAAGAAGCTTAACACTTAGTAGTCATCTACAAATTATTGTCTGTTTTCTTACTGAATTTGAGTTTATTTGCAGTTCATAAAAGATTGCACTAAATACAATCAGAGATAAAAATATAAATTTAGAGTCATCCATACACCTGAGTAACAAATAAGCACTAAAATATTTTCTCAACTAACCTATTTCCACAGTGGTCCTTAAAACTGACACATTAAAATATTTTAGAATAAAATAAACACTCATAATCTGCATGAAATAAATATTACTAAGAAATTAGGAAAATGAATATTAAATCATAAATTTATATCTAGATAGCAATAAATTGTAACTAAAATCCATTCATTAGATAATTTTAAAAAGAAAATTGTTCGAAGGGGTAACTTTAAACAAAACAAAATGTTACTTGGTAACTGAAATGCTGATAATTATTGTGAGAATACTGCAAAAACATAAGACATTCTAGAATTTTTTGTAGAATGTTTTTTTATCTCATTCTTTGAAATATGAACATTTTTCGATCAATAAGTCCTACGTCTTTTTTTTTTTTTTTTTTTTTTTTTTTTTGTGATTTGGATCTGAGCATAAACAAATTGATTTTTGTATCACATTTTTTATGATGAAAATGGTTTTTAAATCCCATTTTCATATCATAGAAAATTTAAAACAAATTCTTATCAATTTCCTTGAAAATTTTGTCCATAGAAAACATGCTAGTCGATTCTTTTGTGTCCGTGTTGACACTGTGTATTGAGTTGTGCATGGAGTTGAAATGATGGCTGAGCGAGTCGCACATGGTTACACATAATTGCACACCCACAAAATGGAGCTATTGTTTCATATTTGATTTTGATTTAGTTTTATAGGTTATTAAATGAGCGTTTTATTGATATATTTTCCGTGTTTTTACTTTTACAAGAAGCATTTGAATTTTACGCTCAAACTTTTCATTTGAATTGTTTACAAACTTCTTAAGATTAAAAAATAGAAAATATATGAAAATGAAGCTTAGAATGTTAACTTTCAAACTAACGTATTACCAAAATTGTAATAAACCCTGCAGAGTGCGCAAGTTACAAAATGTGAGGATGTCTAAATTGCCATCAGTAAAAAAAATGGCTAAAATTTTGTGAAATCACCAAAACGTCTCTATTTTCAAACTACAATATTCCTTGCACAGTGTAGTACATATAAAAATAAATAAGATAGAAAGTTCATGAAATAAGCTTTTATTTGGTATGCATTATTTTTTTATGGCGATATTGAATGAAATAACACGGCGAGTTTATATATGCATTTTTTAGTGTTTAGTTAAGAATTTCATTGGCTGTAAGCTGAGTGTTGGGATATCTACTATATTTATGGGATAAAGTGATCAATATCAGAGAGCGTATATAAATATAAAAGTGAATATTGAAGTCAACACTTGGAGGCGACAGGCTGTTTCATGATAGATGCAATCGTCAGGCCGCGAGTGTTGGATTTTTTCTTGCCCATTTATATATATATGGGTCAGTGGTGCATTGTGGGTAATCTATTCTGGCAGTTATTTTGGTGGCAGTGGCTTGTGTGTGTACACACACATATATATATATATATATATATATATATATATATATATATGAACATAAAGTCAACAGGCGACAGTCTGTTTCATGCTATATGCAATGAAACAGACTGTAACATTCTGTTGACTTCTATGTTCACTTTTATATTTACACATGCTCAATCTCTGATATTGAGCACTTTATCCCATAAATATAGCACACCTTAAGACTATATTTCTTTATATACTCTTCAGGTGTTATATATTCAGTGCTTGATATTATGTAATGGACCTATAAGTATATATTAGTAAATCTACATAATATCCAATGTTGCTAGCACAACTCTGAGCTTCATGCAGTCTTCAGCTACTAAGTATATTCTGATCATTATCAGGTTAGTATTCTCATGGTGATAATTTAAAATTGTGTGTTAAAACTTATTTTTATGGTTGACTTCAGTGTCCACTCTTTATATATGGTGTGACCCATGTGTGTTGCCAATTCAGACAGTAGAGGATGAAGCAACAGATACAATTTTAGCTTTATCACTGCCCACTGACATTATAACTACTCTTTAATTTCAGTGCAGCTCTTTAGGCATTTTCTGTATAAACAAATTAAAATATTTCTTCCACTGGGGGTGGGCAGAGTTTAAGCACCAAATTTTGCAATTTTCCATCTAAATATTTGATTATTTCAGTACTTAATTTGCATTTTAGTTATTGAAGAAAAAAAGTATTATCAGTGGTAAGGAAAAGTAAGATGCCTTACTGACAAAATAAGGTTTGTACATAACCTAAATTCAAGAATGAAGAGATAATCAGTGACCAAGAATCAATGTAAACATTACTGATAGAATAGGGCTTTTAGACGTATAATATAAATACCTTGCTAATGAGTTTAAGTAAGAATTCATTGACAATTGGGAAGAAAGATTGTCAGTGGTCAGAAATGTATGCAGGCTACTATTAGAACAAAACACGCATACACACACACACATGTGCACACATTGCAAACAGTATAGATATTGGGTGAGTTTCATTTTTTTGTTCACTGATTAAGAAGATTCTATAGGTTTAACATTCAGTTAAATAAATATGACAAATTCTCTTTGGCCTGCTATTTTATTTTGTAGGAATCGGCCTGGCCTTGTCAGCTGCAGTTAAAGGTTATAGATGCATCATTGTCATGCCAGAGAAAATGAGTATGGAGAAAGTAAGTATTATTTAGTCTGTTTTGAAAATGGTTAATATTACCATTATCATATGACCCTGATTATTTTTTTTTATTTTTTTTTTCTTTAATACTATTTTGGTGTTCACCAATGCGTTCTTCTAAAACTTTAATATAAATTATAACACATTTACTACATGTGTGTGTACGTCTGTATGTGTGTATGTCTGTGTGTGTGTCTGTAGGAGAGAATATATATAGAATTTTCATGTTTTTATACCAAAATCACTAATATATGCTATTTTTTGTTTATTGAAAAAGTTGTTTCTATATATTCCTATGTATTTGAAAAAAATAATTTGCTCTTCAGGTTGATGTCCTTCGTGCACTGGGTGCTGAAATTGTCCGCACCCCAACCAGTGCTGCCTTTGATTCCCCAGAATCCCACATTAGTGTTGCCCGCAGACTGATGGAAGAAATCCCAAATGCACATATACTTGACCAGGTAATAATTGTCATCTTTACGTCTAAAAGTTAACTTTTGATCTATGATACCTATTTTCTCGAATATCTTGGTCTTCTGGAAACAATAGATGAAAAAGTAGGTATGCAGTTAAAAAGAAAAGTGTACACAAAATGTATTGTGTTTATTATACAAACTTATTAATAATGGTATAATACTTACTGTACACCTGTGTACAGTAAGTATTATACCAAAAACAGTTATTTCTGAAGAAATATTGAGGTCGATCTGAAATATCAAATATATATACTTTTATATATAAACATTATTTTTTTAATTTGCAACTTATATATATATATATATATATATATATATAAAAATGCTTTTACAAACTTTGGGGGCAGCTTCCTCACACCAAATCAAGGTAAAATGTTAATTGGTCTGGAAACGTAATCTGATTCACCCATGCAGCCTGGTGTCAATTATCATTTGAGCAGCCATACGTAAAAATCATACGTGCCTGCTCATGATATGAACATCCTACCCTTGTTAAATGGAACACTTCTCAGTTAACTCACTACTACACATTAAATGTTGACAGACTAGCCACAAATGACGGATGTAACCTAGTTTACATAATACAGAACCATCTCTCGTAAACTTTTTTTCAACTACATAAACCAAAAATGAAGGATTTGCAGACATATTTATATCAATTTTTGTTTGTTTTGGCATGATGAACCAGTCTCCAAACTAGTAAAAGTATTTTTGATACACCCTGTAACATTTTTTATATATATATATATATCAGAAAACAATGACAGCCTCATTGAGGACAGTGTCCTGGGTAAGATGATAAACTACATCAAGCAGCAAGGTTTTGAGGAGCATGGAGCCACCTCTTAATTGATGGTGTTCCCAGTTCCACCATGACCCTGGGTGGTAGCACCTGTTAGGGTCCCAGGTATGGTCAAAACACTATGAAAGTTTAAAAATAGGTTTTAATACCAGAAATACTTTGTAAACAATTATCAGCAATACATTTTTGAAAAAAAAAGATATCAATAATACATTTTTGAAAAAAAAAGATATCAATAATACATTTTTGAAAAAAAAAAGATATCAATAATACATTTTTGGGAAAAAAAAGATATCAATAATACATTTTTGGGAAAAAAAAGATATCAATAATACATTTTTGGGAAAAAAAAGATATCAATAATACATTTTTGGGGAAAAAAAATATACCAACAAATACATTTCTTGAAAAAAACAATATACCAAAGAATACATTTCTTGAAAAAAAACAATATACCAAGAATACATTTCTTGAAACAAAACAATATACCAAGAATACATTTCTTGAAACAAAACAATATACCAAGAATACATTTTTTGAAAAAAGAAAAATACCAAGAATACATTTTTTTTGAAAAAAAAAAAAAAATTTACCAACAGTACATTTTTTGAAAGAAAAAAAATATTACCTGAAATAGATTTTGGACAATACAAAATATTACCAGCAATAAAAATTTTGTCGGCATTAAATAACCCATTGAGGTTGATATGCTATAAAACAAACTAAACCAATCATTGAGGACATGTTTGCACTTATGAGCATGCACAAAGTTCTTACCATAACAGATGCCTCTACCTCTTAGGTATAGTTGATAAAGTGATCCCTGTGGATTATAGCAGCTGAACAGACAGATGTGATCCAAGAAGATTGTGGTTTTATCGTGTATTTATAAGAAGGCACAAAAGTATTGATGCTGGCTTTCACTCAAAAAGAAAGCTTGGAGCATTCATTTCAGTAGGAAGATTAAAAATTTCACTCTTCATCTATGTTTACATGCTAAACAAAATATTAAAAATTGAACTCTTGATATGGTGCAAAAATTATGGACATTATGACAATTTTTCATTACTAATTTTCATCCTATTGCTGTTTTATGTTGCAGCATTCTACCACTTGCCCTCTGTCTGACCTTTTAAAATAAGTGATATTTACAGAGATTATTTGACTTAGAAAGTTGTAAAAATAGGCAACAATAAAATAAAGAAGGTAAAAAATAAATTATAAAAGATACTTAATTGTGGAATTAACTCCAGTTTAACATTTTTCAGAAAAATATGAACTTTGTATGAATTATAGTAATGAAATTTTCAAAGAATGAATTTGTGATATACATGACAATGATGATTTTTTTTTTTTTTAACCTAATAGGTTGAGAACACTTGGAAAATAAGAAAATTGAAAGAATTGGCACTTCTGCCATGATCCAGTTAGCCAAATGTAGGAATGAATGTGAAAAAACTTTTAATGAGAAAAGTGAAAAATAAGGTTTGAGGCATCAAAATTCCATTGCCTAAATACATTTAGCCATGTGTGTAAAATGTTGGTCAGTTCATCTTATTTTACCCAGAGTAGGGTATATAGTTCTCATGCTTTGTTTTCTGCCATATGCACTGAATATTTATATTTCATCTTATTAGAACATTGGAAAATAAGAAAATTGAATGAATCAGCATATATGCTGTTTTGAAAAAATACAATCAGTTAGCCCAGCATAAAAAATGAATGTCATTTGGGTAGGAGCCTCTAGTCAGGAAAGAAAGAAATGATTTATGGTATTAAAATTTTACTGGTTGATTGAACAACAGACGATAAATACATTAATGATTAGACGCTGATTCTTATTGATGTCTTCTAAGAAGGGCATTCCTTGGTTTAAGCAAGAGTTTAGTGGCAAAAATCCTGTAAGGATACTGAATATGACAGAAAGCCCCTTCTCTGGACAGAATAAAGAGTTCTCTGCAAAGAAGTTCCATATAGATTACAAACTACAACAAACATCAGAGAGAGAGGTGGTGGTGATGGGGAGTGATAAAACAAAGATGAGGATACTCATCCAAAAGAATCATTGAATGACATGATGAAAATTCTCTCCCAACTCCAGCCAAATCATGCATTATTAACTATTAACATTTAAATATCTACCACTTACAGTGAGGTAGTTTTAACCAAGAAATACTGTATTTATGAGATCTATTTGGAATGTAACCATCCATTTTAATTATTTCAATAAATAGTTGCCTAGCCTCAATGTACTTTGGCCACCAATTAGAAGGGAATTTACTGCACATGCATAAACACACTTCTGTTTTGTTAGTCGACAGTGAAAGAATGAGCTTGTGTACTGTGTGCAAATTGGATTCATGATGAGTAAAGGGGTAGATATTTCACATCCTGCGCAGAGCTTTTGACAAAACATTGCATCGCAAAGTTCAAATTGCTGCTGAAATGCCCTGGACAAGTTTAAAATATGGCAAGGCTGCCAATAATGATCCTGAAAAAGAACATTGTTTCAAAAACTGGAAGGGATCTTGGGATAAGGATTATCTCAAGGGTTCTACTTTGAAGTGTACTAAAGTGTCATTGTTATAGATTATCTCTCTCCAACCCTCCCCAATATTAAATTACTGGATATTTTCCGGACAAACACTGTCTGTTTACAGATTTACATATTTAATTTTGTTGTTGTTGTTTAAAAGTTAACCATGAAAGATGTTTGAATTTCTGATTATAGTACCGTAATGCCATGAATCCAGTTGCACATTACGATGGCACAGCTGAAGAAATCCTTCGTGATACAGATGGTAAGGTGTCATTCAAGATTTTTTGGTTCAATTTTATGAAAGCTCTTGGCAGAAGATTGTTCTTTTAATCTTTCTGTTCTTATATTTTTATTTTTAAAATTTCTTTTGGTCAGTACAGATTTGTAAATTTCATTAAAAGACAATATTGAGGGCATTACATGAGATGAGGTTCTACTCTAAGCTTTGGGGCATTTGAACAAATTAATTAATTTGTTGATTTGACAAGTTGACAAAGATTTCAAGCTCCACCAGGAGAAATATCTGGTGAGACAGGAGAAGGGCTTAATTTTTTATCTGTGTGTTTTTTAGGAATCCATTTTGAACTTTTATTATCCCCACCTTTTTAAAAAAAAAAAAAAAAAAAAAAAAATGCTGTTTACAAGGAAAATGATTAAAAAAAATTTTAGTTAATCATAGACAACCTCAAACAAATATTAACCCAAATAATTGACAGAAATGTGTGAAAGATAGCAAAGATACAAATTATCTGTGAAAATAAAGCCACATAGTTTTCTTATCTGCAACCCTCAATATCATCAGTAGTATTTATATCTGAAAAAATTTAATTTATTTCTAATAGATGTATACAATTACAAATGCAAAAATTATATAGAAGTTAGGGCTATATCACATTAACACCAGTTCTCATCTAATCACTGAAGTTAAGCAACATTAAGCCTAGTCAGTACCTATGTGTGACTGCTTGGGAATATCAGATGCTGTAAACTTGGATGTGTGGGTGGATTGATGGATAATGGTTTGTCAGCTGATTTAAAAAACAAAACTATTTTCTGTTAACTGGGGCAAAGAATAGCTTATTAATTTTAATGTCTCAAAACGAAACTGATCTTTTTTTTTTTCTTAATCGTTTGAGAGAATCCATTTTACTTTTTGAAAGTTTTATTTTCGAAATGTACATATGCCATTTTGTTTAATTTCATTTAAAAAATTAAATCTGTCAATGGGTGCCATTACTTTTCACACACTGTTGAAGGTGGTCATGAAAGTTGTCCATAACTTGATGGGTCATTTCATGGGAAATGAAAGTAATTTCTTGACGAATGGCATCTTTTTAACTGTTCAATAGATCAAGGGTGATAAGTGTATACCTTTGATTTCAGGTACCCCCACAGAAAAAAAATTGCATGGGTTCAAATCAGGTGATTGGGCAGGCTAACTGATGTCACCATGCAATGAGATCAAATAACCAAAGAACATCTCCCTCACAATGAAAGTGCAATGCTCACCCATCCAATTCATGTTGGCAAGTGAAAATAAAATGAAACAAAATTCTATTATATTTACATTTCGAAAATACACATTTTTCATTCTTTAATGTTTTTCACTTTTATAAAACCTGCAAATGTGTCAGATCATTTTACTGCACCATTTTATATATATATATATATATATATATATATATAAACAATTTCTTTTAGCAGTTTGTAGTGTATTGTAGAAAAAAGGTATTGTCGGAAATTAATCTATTGATGAATTAGCTTGAACTATTAGATATACTATAATGATCTGGTCTGTTTGTAGCTTTGTTACCATAGCATACCAAAAAGACATTTTAGCAAGACTTTTTGTTTGCACAATATTATTAAAATGATCTGATCTAAAGAGTAAATAATTGTCAGTTTATAACTTCTAATAGTGCAGCTTGCATTTATACTCATTCTGATAATCTATGGTGTCAATTTCTTGAGGGAGACAACTTCAGGTATATTATAGTGGTTTGCCTTATTTATCAATATTTTTTGGATTATGATGTACCAGTTTCTGTATATTTGTATAGTTATCTTAAAACAGCAAAAAGTGGCACACCCATAGTGAGATATGTGTTAGCACAACATTGTAAAATGCTCTCACTTAAAAAATAAAACAATTTCCAATCCAATTTGAAAGTGAGTGTTAGTTTTTACATTTGTGCTCACACAAATGAATTGATTTCTCAAGGGAGATAACTCTGTATATTAAGTTCCATTTAACAATTATAATGCTATAAATACAATGTGACTTTGCATCAAACTTCATGGCCACAAATAGCAATCTTTAAGTGTGTGCATATATATATATATATATATATATATACAATTTTTTTTTTTTATTTTGGGGTCCATAAATTTGGATCATACAAAGTTAATTATCCTGACTTGAAGTCCTTTTTTTTTTTTTTTTTTTTTAACAAATAAAATTCACTATGGAGAATTGTGTAGTTATATTGCTGAATTGAATGTTGCATTTCAAATAGCTGGTAACACAAGACTGAAAAAAGGATTCCTTGCTAATTCTGCTAGCACACTTCAAAGACTAAATTCTTTTAATATTATGAAGAATAGTGTGAGTAAAGGCACTTGGGTAAACCACTCCCATAATTATCTTGCCTGCCCAGAGAGTGACAGCAAAAATCTGCTACCACCATAGTCAAGGATCCAATCAAGAGTGGATGAGTTAGTATTTGGGTAAATCACTCTCCCATAATTACCATGTCTACTCAGGCAGTTTATCTGTTATTCATATTGTCAACAATTGTTTTTTTAAAATCTTTTTTGTCACATTTTTCTATATCTCGTTCTTTTTTGTTTAGGTCATGTGGACATGATGATTATATCTGCTGGAACAGGTGGCACCATGACAGGAATTGCTCGTAAAATTAAGGAGAAATGCCCCAATTGCAAGGTATTGAACCGGGTTTCCAATTTTTCAAACATTTGTGAAAAAATTGACATCAGAACAAATTAATTTCCTTTTTACTTGGAAATTAATGCTTAACTGAGACTTATGTTTGAGAAGATTTGATATAAATTTAATTAAAAGTTCCTTTTAACAAATTGTTTCATTTTATCCATTACTTAAAACATAAATGATTCAATTAAATCAGGGAAACCTAATCAGAATTATTTAACAGGTAAAAAAAATAAAAATGAAATTGTGTTTTGTAGATATTGTTTTATACAGGGTGTCCATAGAGTTCGTGTGCACTTAAAAAATTTATAACTTTATTTGTATTTGCGATAGAAATAATCTGTAAAAAATCTTATAAAGTTTAATGTACCTAGTTTTAAGTATAGCTAAAAAAATTGTGATTTCAGGCATTACTGTAAATCAGTTGGCAAATGATTTCCGTGAACTGCAAAATCTTATTACCCTTTGTATTGCTATTGATGGAGGACATGTGGAAACTTATATAAAATTTCAATAAAACCTTAAAAAATATAGATTTCTTTCTTTCTAATCCTTTTTACAAATTATTTCTAGTGCAAATACAAATAAAGTTATAAATTTTTTAAAGTGAACACGAACTTTATGGACACGCTGTATTTAAATCTCCAATTTAGTTACATAACAAGATTGATTACATGAATAGACATTGATTTTTTTTTTTTTTTTTTTTTTAACTCATTGTTTTTTGTTTTTCTTAGTAATTAAATGTTGATTGTCAAGAATTTTTTTTTTTTTTTTTTTTTTTTAACTTGATAGGTGGCTGATTTATTAGAAAAATAAAGTTCTTTTTATAAAATATTGGGAAATATTCTAGGTAATTGCTTTATCTACTGATTCTGTTTTAGGAATAAGCAATGGTTAATTTTGAAAAAGTTCTAGTTTTTCACCAGAAAAGATTGAAAAAAAAATCTCTCACCTAATTTCTCCTGACTTGACCATTTTAATAAAACATGTCTGAAAATTATTTTTTAAAGAATTCTAAACTGAGATAGATTTGAATAAATGATATTCCTGAATTTAGCTTTTTAAATATACATTTCTTAATTATAACAAAATAGTGGTTATTAATAAATAGTAGTTCTTCTTTTGTGAGCAAAATGTTAAAAAAAAAAACTCCATTTTCTAAAATGGGTAATTAAAGACAAATGAAATGAGTAACAATTTTCTTATGACTTTTAGTACTTTTCACTTTGGTGAAAATCATTTGTTTTCCTCCCTTCTATTCTATAGATTATTGGAGTGGATCCTGAAGGTTCAATTATTGCACAGCCTGACCATTTAAACAAAACTGATAAGACCTTCTATGAAGTTGAAGGTATTGGATATGACTTCATTCCTACTGTTTGTGATAGATCAGTAAGTGATTCTGCCTTCTTATTTTCTGCTTTCATTTAGAAGCATTTTTGACAGATTATTTATAAGTATTATTCAGACTTGTTTTTGCTATAAAAACATTTCAACTAATATATTCTTCCACTTTCCTCAACATATTGGCTGGTATGACATGTTAAGAGCAAAGATGGGTATACACACACACACACATATATATATATATATATATATATATCTCAAAAGAACGAATGGATTTTAGCTTTTAATCTGACATTTTTATTACTTCAAATGTTATTTTTAGTGAATACCTGTATTTGAGTAAATGCTCCATTTATTTTAAACAGTATTTATAAACGGTGTTTACTCAAATATGGGTATCTGCTAAAATAACATTTGAAGTAATAAAAAATAGATTAAATAAAGAGTTCAGTTTGAAATTTCCTGAATATTACCCAGATAGATACCTGAAGAAGGTTGGATTGCACAATGGCCAAAACCTTGTGATAATAACAAGGTTATTTATTATACACTCAGTTAAAGGCCACACTGTGCAGACTTCTAAGCTAGCTCCTGCAGAGGGCTAATTGGGCTTCTGGCCCAAAACTAAAGGGACCTCTGGTCCAGCTTAGAAAACAGCAATGATAATTTTTAAGAAATAACTTTGAATTCCTCAATTCATTCCATGGAACTTGAAAACTTCATTTTAACTGATTTGAGCTTTAAGTCCAATTCTGGCCAAAAGACCAATTTGGGCCAAAACTCCAATTTGAAATCAAATTCTTAAAATCACAAACTCTGTAGAACTTCAAAACCTCTCACTTTAAATCCTTGGCATTTTAAAGAAATAAAATTTATTTCCTCAATTCACAAAGTTTTGGAGACATTTGAAACTTAATTTAAAACAAAAAATTTTAAATTCACAAAGTTTTAATTCAATATAAATTAAAAACATTTAAAATCACTAATTTTTTTGGTTATTTTAAAATTTGAATTTGTAACTGTTCCCTCCTCATCCTGACACAAATCCTAATGCTGGATTTGAACATCCACCAGATGAAGGGCAAGATTTTCATTCTTTGGATCCTCCTGATTCCAAAATGTTATGTCTATGTAGAGCAAGTGTTGCCCAAGTTGGAGGTGTTTCAGACACATGGACGGACACACAGAATTTGCTCTTTATTTATTTAGAAGATATCACAACACTTAAGTAGTTTTACATTTTATGACTGTTAAGCAAGAAGCATGGATCAGTAAGAAAGAAGTAGCTTTTGTCTAGATTTGAGCTTGATGCAATAACTTCATCTTTGATAGTAAATGATTTTATTAGCATCTTAAATGTTTTATGCTTTTTATGACCAGCAGCAAAGTTTGTGAAATGAGGTCTTCAAAATGGTCACACATTTGATGCAAAGTGAATAATAAATAAAAACTTTTTGGGTCAAGTGCTACTTTGTCAAAATTTTCTGTTTGCAGGCTTATATAAATGATTTGTTAAGGTTGAAGGTAATTGAGAAAAATCTTTTGGCAAGGACAGGCTGTTCATCAACATAGTTCCAATACTGCCTGTTAGGGTTGCCGGCTGTGTGTCATGATGTAGACACTGGGTTGGTAGGAGACATTCAGTTCTCACTGTTAGAAGAGAATTGCTTACCTCATGTTATCTACCTACAACTCTCAGACTAAGTGAAACATTGGCCAGTGAATAAATAACCAAATTATTGAAAACAGAATTCTTGTTTTCATTTCTTGCCATGGGATTAATTTCACTTCCCAACCTCTTGTGAACTTACAGTAGGCCTTTAACTAACGTAAATGAGAAGCAAAATTCAATGTATGGTGATTTGTCCAACTGCTAAAAAGCTGAGAGAGGGAACTATGTATGGTTATACTTGGGTCTCCTATTCTAAAATTACGAGTTCTTAAATTTTATATATTCTGTCTTCTGTGTATAGTTATGCATCATGCAACTTTTGAAGACCTAATTTTGAAGCTAATTTTAAGGGGTCTCATCATATATGAGATATAAAATTAGTGGTGTATGTGCTGCTGGCCCTGGCTACACCATTGACCAAACTATATATGCATTTACTGTAGTCAAAAGTACAGCTCTATTTAAAATAAACATGATTTTGATAAAACTAATGTTTTACTTAACTGTATCCAATAATAATGCATGTAATATTCACATATTAATATTGTATTATAAAATACAAACATAGCAAATATTTTTCCATTGTTTATGTTTATAAGATGTTTAGCTGTTTCTCATTTGGTTGTTTATGGCTGTATACATTTACACAACTAGTATAGCGTTACTAATGATACTTTTATCATTCTCTTTTACTTTTTTAACTTATTTAATTAGAAGATGGGATAAAGAGATAGAGGAAAAGGGGTCAGTCTATTGTAGTTTGGTCCCTCAAAAAGAATTTACATGAAATACATAAAATTATTTTTTATAAGTGAAAATTTGTGGGTGGGTGTCCCATGATATACAAGATCACATATTACACAAGTATATACAGTAATTTATGAGAAAGATTTTCCATTTGTTAATTATTTTACTTTGGATTTTCTTTGATCAATTTTTTTAAATATTCATTGATTTGTTTGTTTGAATTTATGGAATTGTTATTTACTTTGTCCTTTCAGTTAGTTGACCAGTGGTACAAAACTGTTGATGTTGATTCTTTTGCAATGTCCAGACGTTTGATAAGGGAAGAAGGTTTTCTCTGTGGTAAGCATCTTGGATTTATAAAATATTCACATGTAATTCTTTCTGAAGCCGTTCGGAGAAATGAAATGTTCAACTGTCATTAGCTAATGCCTGAGGTTTTTATTTAAATCTGTTTCTAGTTTAACAAATTTGGGATGCTACATAAGGTTTTGCTCATAACAAAACTTACATTTGGGGTGAGTGTTCAAGTTCAAATAAAACCTTGTTCAAAATATATCTTCATGAGAACAAGTGATCAATATAGAGTCTAGAGCATACACACTCAAGGTAGACTCCCTCAGGAGTATGGGACTCATAGTTCTCAGCACAGTAAGCATTGGTGCTGCAGTTTCCATTTCAAGGTGTAAGTTTTGATAGGATCAAGTTGCTAGCCCTATACCCAACTGGTTTTGAATTCAGATTTGTCCTTCTCCTATACTAGTTACCAACTATGGCTAAAGAGTTCAGTTTGTCCTATTATTTAACCCATAGCTTGGGAGGAGGAAAATTCACATTCGTGTAAGTGAATGTAAATAGCTTGACTGTAATTTGAACTTGGATCTCTAATTTCCGATTCTGAGATATTATCCATTACACCACCCACACATCCTATAGCAGACCATTTATAGATATAAAATATTGTGGGTGTAGCAAAGGAGTCAAATTCAAGAGAGTAAGGGACGCAACTCTTTCCGTCGTTAAATGTCTGACACGATGCAACGCATAAGCAATGTACACCGAACACGGGTGTAATGCCCTTCTGCCAATTTCTCCAAGCGACCTGCTTTTATGGAGCCCAGACACAAATTAGCATTTGAAAAACGCGAAAAAAGAAACTGCACGAGACTGTGAATATTAAAAAGTCACTGACACCATCTTGGACCCTTTCTTTCTTTTCTCAACGCACAGGCCAGACAGATGTGAGGGTGTTTGGGAGGTAAGCCATTTCTATTTTCCCCACAGTGGGTATAAAAAAAAAAAATGGATGGTGGATGTTTTGAACTTAAAGCAATCATCAAACAACTATGTCTGATCACGTCAGATGTGAATATGCATGTGCATATATACAAGAGAGGATTTAAAGATTTTTGAATGACCAAGAAGGGAATTAAAAAAAAAAAAAATCTTGAACTGGATTTGATCAAGAACCTCTCACTGTCTCCTATATATTAGCTGTGTGGAAAAAAAAACGGTTTTCAAAGCTCCTACATAACCTAAACAAGGATAACAAATATGTTAGGTTTGTGCAAAAATTCTCTGCACACTTTAAAACTAGATACACAATTAAAAACAAGTTTACACACAGCTATGTCATGTTGCAACAGCAATTATTATATGATTATCAAAGTTGAGAAAGTCAGCCTGATCATTACCGAGATGGGTGACCACTTGGGAATATCAGGTGCTGTAAGCTTGGATGTGTGGGTGGTGTAATGGATAACAGCTCGGAATTGGAAATCCGATAGAGGAGTTCCACTTCCAATCGAGTTCGTTATATTCACTTACATTTTGGGAAACGTATGACTCCATATCTTCACTCCCCAGCTATGGATTAATTAGTAGGACTTGTATCAGTAAATCATTATTATCTCCCCAAAAAATTCTAAAATATTTTCTGACTGCAAAAGGTTGATAAGCCATAAAAAACAAATCAAATCACACACACACACACACACACACACACACACAAATGTGGCGGTGTCTGAATATTTCTTGGTCAAACCAAGAAGTGATTTTTGTCTTTAAAAAAAAAAAAATCTGATGTTTGGACATCTGGTCAGATTTTAGATTGTGAATTGTCAAATATCTTCTTTTACAAGAAATTCATTTGTAAATAGCACAAACATAATTTTTCTCTACTTATTTTTTTCAAGGTGGGAGTTCAGGTGCAGCTATGGATACTGCTATAAAAGCAGTTAAGGATTATGGTTTGAAAGCAGGACAACGTTGTGTGGTAATCTTACCTGATTCTATAAGGAACTATATGTAAGTCAATTTTTTCATCACTTATGAATGTGTTTATGTCAGGTCATGTGACCAACTTACTAGATTCGTTTACCATTTGTTGCTTTCTGGTGTTTTGTAAGACATCAAATTTATTAATACTGTCAAGTTTTAATAAGACTTACCTAAAATATATTACTATTAAGTAACCCTCTTTCTTATTTATATATTAATAGCTACAATAAAATAATTTTCTGCCAGGTATCAGTGCAAAGCCACCAAAAATACTTAATGATAGAACTTTAGAAACAGAATTGTGCAGCTGACAATGTCTGTGAATGGACATCCCTGTTTATTTATAGGCAGTGAAATTAATGTCTAGTGGCCTAACTCATTAAGAGTCGTAAAGAAAATATATCCAGAGAAAGTGAATGCAGGCTTGATAAACCTGCTAAAGGATACATTACACTTGAGACGTCAGAATACCAGGGCTGATAGTTGATTTCCCTGTTTGTAAATCAACAGCAATGTCTACTCAGATATGTGTATCCAATAAACTAATAGAGGAAAAAGAAATATATATGGTTAAGTCATAAATATTTTTTTTTTTCTTTATCAATTTTATTAATTTTATTATTCAAAATATTACAAGTGGTTTTTATAAAAAACATAAATTATATATATATTTTATATATATATATATATATAATGATAATATATGATAATAAAAATAAAAAAAATGTGGTTTTATTACTTAAATGTAATTTTTAGTGGACACTTGTATTTGAGTCTTCTTCCACTGCGAGGAAAGTTGGCTCTCTGTGCAGTGCCAGGAAATTTTTCTCCCCGGGATTGGTACTTCAAATATACAAAACAACCATTTGCCCTTGCATGGAGTATTGCTGCCATATATGGTCTGGGACACCTTCTGTTTACCTCGGAGTTCTTGACAAGATCCAGAGATGGATATGTAATCTAATTGTCCCTGATCTGGTGCCTCGTCTAGTCACTCTCTCACAGACGCGCCGTCGCCTCTCTCTGTCTTTTCTACAAATACTTTCATGGTAATTGCTCCGATGAGCTGCTTTCACTGGTTCCCAGACTCCATGAATTCAAATATATACAAGGCTGGCATCCCGCTCCCACCCTTACACTGTAGAAACTTTTAAATGTAGCCATCTCTTCTACCCCAGTAGCTTCATACCTCGCATCTCTTGCCTGTGGAACACCCTTCCCAATTACTGTTTCACTGAGAGCTATAATCTCCAACTATTCAAATGTAATGTCAATCGACACCTCCAGTTACCTTGATCTACCTACTATCCCTCTCCTCATCCTTTCTTCTATCACTCCTATCTGCTCTTGCTCCAAATCTTATGCAACCCCTGCATCCTAGTGGCTTCACACCTTGCTCGGGGCGTAATGCTTAAAAAAAAAAAAAAAGATGCTCTGTATATTTATTTTTGTCTGCCAGTCTGAATATTTGAAAAAAGTATGTTCTCTCCTCAGCCAGAGAGTGTGAGTGCACACACACACACAAAATACCTAAAGAGTGTATTGAGCACTTTTCCATATCAGCTTAGGTAACTCTATATATAATTGTAGGTCTGATGAATTGGATCATGATTATGATTCCAATGTAATAAATTATAGCCATGGAATATTAGTGTTTGAGCCTTTTATATTAAACAAACACTAATATTCCATTGGAATCATAATCACGATCCAATTTTTCAGACCTACAAATTCAAACAAATCAGAAAATATAACTCTGGGTATAAAAAAAAAAAATCCTGGACATTGAGTTCTACCTGGATTCTATCCTCTTGTAAATTTGTATATATATATATATATATATATATATATATATATATATATATATATATATATAAAGAGGTCTATTTATTTAAAAAATTTTCCAAATCGTTACTTCCTATTTCTATATATTTTCACATATTATTTATATATAACCAGTTCCTTCCTATTTTATATATATTTATATATATATATATATATATATATATAAATTTGATGCCTTTCAAAGGACTGTCTTTGTGCCATATTTGATATAAAATGGGATGACAGGGTCAAGAATAATACAATGCTGAAGAAATGTAACATCACAGGCATTGAAATAATTCTAGCATGATAAACTTGGGCTGGTCATGTGAGAATGGATGAACATAGGCTTCCAAAAATGGTGTAGTATGGACAACTACCAAATTCCAAGCGTTCAGTTGGATGTCCACTATTATGCTACAAAGATAAATTGAAAGACAACTTGAAGTGTCTCAGCTTTGATTTGAAAACCTGGGTAGCCCAAGCATAAAACCAAAAGGAGTGACATAAGACATGTTTTATTAAGATAAAGGGTTTTGAAGACAGTAGACTGAAGCACAGTGATCAGCTTCATCAAGCTCTGAAGCAGACGCCATCAAAATCCTGTTTTAACAAATTTCATCTGTCAGTATGGCTTTGTTGCCCACTGCAAGGCTGGGCTATTATTACACTTAAGAAAGCACAAAAGAAATATGTCTCTCCCTTACCAGATTTTCTCCATAATTTCCCCTACTAGTATGCATGTGTAAAACGAAAGGCACCATCCAATGCTGATCCTCATTTATCATTTACGATAGGACAGTCCACCATATTCTGTGTATTTAGGCAGCAAATGTTATTTAAAGCAAATATTATTAAAAAAAATAAATTCAATTTTTATTGATCAACTTTTCAAAATTACAAATAATCCTTCTCAGACAAGGAGGAAATTCCATGAGAAATTGTCCAAAGTTGATTTCGGAAGAAAGTATAAGAAATAAAAAGTACAAGAAATACTGTTCAAGCTTTTGGCTTTCTTAAGCTTGAACCATATATTTATTGTAATTTTTTTCTTCTGAAAAGAACTTTGGGCAATTTCTGATGGAATTTCCTCCTTGTCACAGAAAGAATATTTGTAATTTAGAAAAATTGATCCTTAAAATTGACACAAAATGTCTGTTGTTTTAAACATATATATACCCTTTATTCCACAATTTAAAAACAGTAAAATTCCCTTATACCAACAAATTGTACTAAGCTAAGTTAGTAAATATTTAGTTTACAAGTGAGGGTCTCATTCAGTCAGTGAAATTAAGCAATATTTAGCCTGGCCAGTATTGAATAGAGGACTGCTTGAGAACACCAGATACTACAAGCAACTTCCTACAATCCTTAAGATCTTTTGGTTTTAAATAACCCATATAGGGTTGAGAAGCCTTAAAAAATATCCAAAATCCATCAACAAACACAAATGAGGAATACCCACTGGTTATCAAATTCACTACACTAGTAATTGTCGGATTAGTTTGCTAGTTATTACTGCATGGTGAGGCTCCTATAGAAGCATTTACTTATGAGAGTCAGTAATATAATCAGTCCTGACCTGGCATCTTGACTTCAGTCACTTTTCCATCACAGTGATATGGCTTCCCTCTGTTTTTATCATAAAGATTTTCATGGTAGTTGTTCTGGGTTTTCCTTTTTGGTACATCAACCACATAAATGTAAGGGTACTAGTAGTTTGACTACTAGGTCTTGTTTTACTGTTGAAATAGCTCGATTCAACCATAATTTCTATTATGATGGTTTATTTTCTCATCTAAGGTACTCTCTTCCAATTTCTTCCTTCCATGACACCTACAATCTTCAAAAATGTAATTTCAGTTGCTGCCTTCTGTTTTCATGAATCCTGTACTTTGTCTTTTCTTCTCACTAAAGTCTTAGTCTTCTCATTCACTTCCACTCTAAGCTACTGCTTTTGTCTTAGTGACATTATTGCTTGCTTGGGGTGAAATAATTAAAACAAAAAAAAAACACATACATAGCTCTGTGTCTGTGTGTGTTTTTTTTTTTTTTTTTTTTTTTTTTGTCTTCCTTGAGGCAGGACTGACATTAATCTCACATAAAGCAAGGTGGGTCATGCCTGAGAAAGAATTTGTCATAATGATTTGAGGCAAGGTTTTACAAGGCCAGATTCTCTTCCTGACACCCAACTCTGACAAAACTCGTGATAGTTCAAGTACAGTTTTTATTGAGACACCATCTTGAGGAAGGTTACCATTCAAAGCTTGATATCTCATATATATATATATATATATATATATATATATATATATATATATGCTCTGATAAGAAGCTCATTCACACTTTTACCAGGTTTTCAAAGTCCAATGTAATGGGGACTTTTTTATTCATTTTTTTTTTTTTCCAGGACTAAATTTTTGAGTGATGATTGGATGAGTCAACGTGGATTTCTTCAACTTGATACCAATCCAGAAACAAGTAACGAGTGGTAAGTTACCTTCTTTTATAGTTTGCATTACTGTTCATTTGGTGATTAGTAAAACATTTCAAGTGACATTTTATTTAATGTCAGAAATAAAGAAAAAAATATTTAACAAATCATGGAGGGAAATATTTTCAATATTATCTGATAAAATAAAATTTCTTGTAGAAAATATTTATTTTATTTTTGTAACTGATCTCTTTATTATATTTTCTAAATCTAAATTATTGTAAAATGGACAAAAATTATGCAGCAAACAAGTTTATTTTGTGATGAAGGAAACAAGACCTTAATTTATCTCAGAATTGTTTGATATTAGAAATTATCATTATTATAGGCTTTTCTATATGAATGAGTATTTTCATATTAATGGTTGTTATACTCTCAACGTTTTGACTATTGTACCCTCTGGTTTTCATCAGATCTATTAAAAAAAGTGGGGTGCTCAAAAATTTCACCACTGGTTATACACCTTACATTTAAAACTTGAAAATCATACTTTGATATCTGTCTATATTTCTGAGATGAGGTATTATGTACACTACTTATATTATTCGGACTATTCACTGTGCCAGGTGTCCTTGAGGACACCTGGCACAGTGGATAAAGGTGTTGGTTAGATCCAGTGACAGGACCCAAACAGTGTGAGTTCAATACCCGGTTAAGGCAGTGGAGAACTTGGAGAGGGGAATTAACAGGAGATAACTGATAACTGACATCCATTAAACATGGCATGTGGAACTAGAACAGTCTACCCCAGTGAGCGAAATAAAGGGTTCAGTTCGACATTCCAACCACCTGAAGAAGGCCAGAGCGTACAACAGCCAAATCATTGTGATAAATATGGTGACAAAGATGAGGACAATAGTCCGAATAATGTAAATAGTGTACATAATTTGATAGTATAAGAGATACATGACCAAGTAAATTAAAACATTAGTTAAATATATCTAGTTCAATCCCTGGGTTGGGTAGTATGCAAAAGTCCTATCATCTGGTTCATAGGAAGAAACGGACAAGTTTCATGAAAGGGGTGGAGGTAGAAAAATAACAGATAATATTAACTGATACAAGATATCCCTTAAACATGAAAAGCAGAATGAGAATTATTAACCTCTTTGAACTTGAACCCTTTCAAGCAGGTTATTGCAGACACCTGAAGGCTGAAGAATACAATGATCAAAATATTCTAAGTATAACAACTGTGATGAGCACACAACTACAAATAGAATGGTGGCATCTTCTACACTTTATTTAATATCAGAAACAAACTTTAAAAAAATGTATTCTGAAACAAAATGAAATATCCTAGTAGAAAGAATTTTTTTTTTTTTTTTCAATCCCCAAAAATAGGATGTGCAGGTGGTGTTATATTTTCATGGGGCTTCAGGGTTAAAATGAACAATTGATTTACCCATGCCAAGAAGATTAATGAAGGATGATAATGCTGAGGAAACACATGGGTAATTTTAACAAAACAAGAATTACATGCTTGAAGTAGTGTCAGTAACTCATTTCAAGAAAATAAATCAGAATTCCAAAAGTCGGTAGTTTTAACGAATTGTCATGAAGAGGATATGTTCATACAACAGATTAAATGATCTTACACAAAATATTATTCAAAAATGTTTAAGACAAAGATAAGTGAGTTTGTTGCTTCCATATGGTTTCCATACGTTCAAAAGTAAACAAAGAGAGTTTGAAATAAATAGCTTTCTTGGATTGTTGAAAGAAAATTCTTTAAAGTGTCACATACTTGGTTAGAGGCTGATAATATAATTGGCAAATAATTTTACACTGGCAAGAGCTGGATACAATGAACAGAATCAAAATTTTTCACATGACTTGAAACAGTCTTCTCTCATTAATTTTTCTCTTCATTTTATATTAAAAGGAATTTTGCATAGGCTTGCAAATTTTCTTTTCTTCTCAGCTGACCAGCTAATTTCTGTGATGGCAAGTTTTCATTGGTCCAAAGAAAATTTTACATAGGCTTGCGAATTCCTTTCACTCTTTTTTCCTCAGTCCTCCAAAATTTGAAGGGAATTATTTCATACTCACTACAGTGTAAAGGATAGCAAGTCAGAATGAGAAAGAGAACAGTTTGAATTCCTGTTGAGTTCATTGTATTTATTTATGTGCAAATGCTCTTGGAAAAGGTATGAATCTATCTCCTCCACTTTACTATGGGTTAAATAGTAGGGCTTGTATCTGGAAAAATTGTTATTCCCCCAAAATTAATGCAATATTCACTTGCAGAAAAAGAACTATACTTACAATCCAAAATGTTTTGGCTTTAAATAAGCCGCAAAGGGTTGATAAGTCATAAAAAAAAAATCAATTTCAAAAGCTAGCCAAGCCCTTCATTACCCATGTCTGATTTACTAGCCTTTTATAAAATTATAAGTATTGTTGGAATTTGAGTTCTTTTCTAGCCATAAAGAAACATTTAATGTTTATGTCCAGCAATTTGTAATTATTTGAGGTGATATTAAATCATATAGTGTGGATAATGTAATAGACAGCGTCTTGGAGAGCCAAGGGCAAATTCCACTCTGGCTCATTACATTCACTTATGTGCAGATACCCTTGGGAAAGGTATGAATCCAGCTCCTCCACCCTGCTATGGGTTAAGTAGTAGGAATTGTTTCTGGAAAAGTCATTATTCTCAAACTAATTAATGCATTATTCCCTCAGAAAAAAAGATTTATTCTTACAATCCAAAATCTGTTTTGGTTTGAAATAACCTACAAAGGGTTAAGTCATAAAAAAAGAAACAAATTATCCATTTATATGATAAAAAAAAAAATCAGTTATCTTTATTCCATAATAGATGTTACATTTCCATACACATTTTCCTACACTGAATGTACAAACTATTATGGGCTAGAGGTAGTAAGTTTTAAGAATTTCCTGAGCATGAACTGCTTTGTGTAAATTTTCCTTTTACTATTTTATACGTTTTTGCTTGACTGTTTTTTTTTTTTGTTTTTTTGACATAGTCTGTGGGTAAATACAAGTTCTGTCAAATATTTGGTTAATGCAAAAGTTCAGTGTCATCTATTGTACTATATTAGGGAAATCTTAGAAGTATCTCAGAATTATACTCTGAAATTTCTATTAAATAAAGCTTTATTGTGAACCCTTTCTATCTTATCCTTTTAGAAATGTACTCTTATTCTAGAGACTTATGTCTCCCTTAATATGCAGCGGTTTGTCATTCTCCACTTCTCCCCACAAAAATTGTACATATCTAGGATTTTATAGAGAACATGGTATTAAAATGATTGTAGTGCAACTGATAAATCAAAATGTGTACTTTTGGTGAAAGGATTATTATTGAATGTTTAGGTCAGTGATTGAGACAAGCTAAGTTGAAGGATGGAACAGATAACAACCAGCCTCTCACTATATTTACTGTATATAATCAATAAGTATTGTCTCCAGGGGTTAGTATTTCAGGAAGCGACCAGAGTTAATCTCTGGTACCAGAGGTACCTACCATAAGGGGGGAAATGCAGAGGAATCTCAACAATTTCTGCTCTCCATCCTATGGATGCCCGTCTTAAACTAGGTTTTGTAGCATATTCTGTTCTAATGGGTGTAAAGTTAAAACCCTCTTAGAATTGTCTGAAGTTCTGTCAGTGTGAAGTAAGATTTTTCCTGAAGTTTTTTTTAGCTCATCATTGCTTGTACAATTCACCAGCTGTAGAATGCTTTTAGAAATGCCAAATCCTAGAAAAATGAGTTCTACATTAAATTAGAGAAATCTGCTTTATTGAACTTCTCCAGGCGACAGTATCTTCCAGAGAATTTAACTCACCTGGGGGAAGAGGGAAAACTCTGATTTCAAACCACATATTTTGATTAGTTTTAGTTGACTGTTCATCTAGGAGAAAGTCATCTCTCATCTTGCAGTTCGTTTGTTGCTGTAATCAAAATTGATATTTGGAAGGGCATCCATCTGTAAAAATGAGCTTCAATTGAATGATAGCTGCTAATGTGACTTGTGAATATGGATTATCTCCTCTTAGATAATCCAAGCTATAAAAGCTGTATACTTCCGCTGTCAACTCAGATGAGTAGTAGTATTCTTAATTGAATAAACGATTACTAGACAGAATCTCTTGTCCTGTTTTCATTACAGTGACCCCTCATTTTGCTGCATAACAGTATCCATTGCAAATGTGATTTCACAATCATAGAGAGTATTCCTTCAAATCTCTCCACTACAGGCTACCTCTTATTTTGTTCCATACAACACTCATTCTATTGTTAGATGTTCCAACAGTTACAATGTATTGAAAAAATTATCAAACTGTTCATTCAATCAGTACCTGAATTGTTGTTTTATGATAGAACACATAGTTTAGCTGAAAGATGGTGTAATGTCAGAGAAAACCAAGACAATATTTTAGTTGAATCCTGATGCTATGAAATAATATAAGTATTTTGTGGAAGAAGAAAAAAAAATACTGGAAACTTTTGCATATATCTTACATGTTCAAACCTTCTTTATTAGTGTCTAACCCTATGTATAGATATAGATTTTTTTTTCATATTAATCATTATTGAATCCATGAGTAATAAGTAATTGTATCAGTATGGACTGAAAGTAAAATAGTTTTATGTACAAACCTTTTATTATCCAGAATTTTTTGTAAATTAATATTTGATCTTTACAGGTGGTCCAATTTACCAGTAAGTGCTTTGAAGCTAAATGCACCTTTAACAGTGATGCCAAATGTAAACATTCAAGAAACTTTGGAATTGCTGAACAAGGAAGGATTTGATCAAGTTCCTGTTGTTGATGAGGAAGGGTTAGTTTCACCTTTTCATATAAACTCACTCTTTTTACCTGTTGAGAGATCAGTCGTTTAGTTTGCTATAGATTTGAACTTTGGATCAAATATTTTATATCTGTATTCTCTCTGCAATCATTACTTTTGAAAACGTGTCAATTACTGAATGCGATTATGTTGTAATTAATATGCTCTATTATTCTTTACAATTTAAGAATTGAATAAGAAATAAATTGTACTTCATTACATTTAGGCCACACAAGAGCTTAATGAATTTTGTGGCATAGTAATTGAGTTCAATCTCTGGGCTGGGTGGAAATGGGACTAGCAATAACTGAGCAATACTAAAAAGTGAACAAGATATCTCTGAATATGGACGGTGGAAAGAGAACATCTATCCCTGTAGATTAAATAAAGGATTCAGTTGAAATTTCCTTGAAGATTAGCCAGATTGGCAGAAACCTAAAGACTGCTGGAGAGCATAATGGTTAAAATATGATAACAAAGATGACGACATTCTGAATGTAAATAATATAAAGACAGATAGCAAAGCACACAGATTTGAATAATCTAAAATGTGAGTATTCAGTTTTAAATAATGGCCTATCCTTTTGCATGATGACAGAACTTAGTTGATTGAAATTCATGAAAATCATTTTGATCAATAAAGAAAAACACAATAATTTTGACAAAACTTCCTAAAAACCCATGCTCATATGAGAACAATGAAAAACAATCATTTTTAATGTTATTAATACAAGACATTCTTAATGCCATCTCCTGATGAAAAACAAACTTTTTGGCTAATGCAGTACATCATGAAAAATATTTCTACTACATCTTTCTCTGTTTAACTCTATTAATTTATTATTCTACTTTGATTTATCTGATTCAATTTTCTCATCTTTGTTTTTAATGTCAACATTTTAGTTGCTGAATTACTTCCAACCTTAACAGAAGATCAAACAGTATCTTTTATTTGATTAAAAGGTTATGCTGTTCTTGTACATATCAAATGCAGAGTCGTTCTTAGTGAGTTTTTAGATCTCCTTCAATTCTTGCTTCCTTTCCACTGAGGAGATTAAACTTGAAATTTCTGGAAGCTCACCAAATTAGACAATCACCTTTTTGCCTTTTACTTTTTTAAATTGAAGAGAAAAAGAAACCAAAGTTAAAAACAACAAAGATGTGGAAATTGGTTTCAATGTATAATTGTAAAAAATGCATTGTTTCAGAAATTCAGACCCAAACTTACTCTGTCCATAAGTTAGAGAATAATACTTGTCTTCGAGAATAGTATTTATCATACTGTAATTTTAGGGGACAGTCAAATATTAGAATGGAATATTTGAAGTGTGTGGGTATGGATAACACTGAGAAGGGATTTGATTGTTTGCAAAAATTATGATGCAAACATTAAATTTTTCTAAATACAAAATATTAACCAATCACTTGTTCAGACAAGACTGGCTTCTACCTCCAATGTAACTTCTGCCTCTCTGAATTAGGCTTATTATATAGACTACTTTGCCATCCTGTCAAAAAATGATTGCCTATTTATATAATTTGGCCAAATGCATTTGATACATACAGAACGCGAGGGATAAATTGTCTAAATTAAACAAAAATGAAAATAATACTGACATCTCATTTTAACAGATATATTTAACAAAATTACAGAAAAATATCTTGAAATACTAAAGTAAATTTATTCAATAAGATTGTCATTATCTTCAACCACAGCCTCCAAACAACTTCGGAACCTCCTGTTCTCTTCTGGACAGTCTCCTTGTTGGTGAATGCTGCCATAATCCTTGCCTTCAGTTCATCTTTGGTGTTACAAGGAGTTGGTCTCTTGCTCAACTGCACCCCACACATAATAATCAAGGGAGTTGCAGTCTGGACAGAGTTAGGTGGCCAGGGTGATGTTATCACAGAAATTGTCTGATAGCCATGACTGGGTTCTCCTGCTTTTGTGGTATGAAGCACAGTTCTGTTGCCAGACATAGGTTCTTCCAGCAGCCATATTCTTGACCCAGGGCATCTCTACCTCTACAAGGTATTTTGATGTAGGCCTCTGTGGCTCTCACCAACAAATTCAGGAGTTCTTTTATCAGAATGATCAGAGTGCATTTTCCAAGTTGCCAAACCTTCATAATCACCATGACTCCTCCAACTCTTTTTGAATACTCTACACTGCTCTCTGAAATGTTTCTATTGGAGCTGGCATGAATGCTAAATACAGCATGCTGTTTCCAAATTTCTAGTGGAGTGAATTGCATCATGGCGGTCTTTTTCTTATAGACTGTGCCCAACTGACCCTATTGTACTGTGCCGTCGACAAACTCAAACGTGTGGAGTTAAAAATATAAAATTGCGACAATGTACTTATCGCCCTCTGTATATAATCTCAAAAACCTTGTGGCTTTTCATTTTCTTATGTTCAGTACATGTTATTCAGTTTCCTTTTATAAGGTCTTGCATTGTTGAATGTTAATTTTTGTAAGTGTTACTAAATTTTGTTGAATATTACAGAAATGTTTTGGGAATGGTCACTGTTGGGAACATGATGGCTAAAGTTGTTCGAAATAAAGTAAAACCATCGGATCCTGTGTCAGAGATCATGTACAAACAATTTAAGCAGGTTGGTATTATACATTTTTAATTATTTTATCCCTAGTAAAAGAAAATTAAAATTAAAGTAAGTTTTTCATTATCTTTCCTCACCTCCAGCCATTTTTTTTTTTTTTCTTTTAAGGCTTCCATAATTTAAGATTATTTTAGTTTTTGGTAGGGTCTAAAGAAAAAAAATATCCAATGCTGGTAAAATAAAAATAATTTTAAAAATACCCAGCAAAATTAACTGTAATGTAGATATCTGCCAGCCACTTAAAACCTGATCTAGTACCAAATTCTATTTAAGTGGGAGTTTCATGGGGGTGGAAAAAAGGAACAAAAATTGCTGAAGCCGGGCTGCTTTGGTACTTTGCCTTCACGGATGCTTTAGATTGTCAGGGATTAACCCCAGCCCTCTTCCGTAGCAGTACTGCCTAGGGAAACAGCACTCTGAGCCTTAAGTGCATTATACTTAATTTTTGACTTTAATGACTCTACCAGATAAACATTGTAAACAGTCATATATGGATCTGGAGTAAAGGCTAACATGAAAGTCTAAACTTTTCTATTGCTTGGGGATACTGTTGTATCCACCAAATATAAACTTCAATTTTTCATTTCTGAAATATAGAAAATGTGACACCAAGATCTGAATGTGCATTGGAATAGCAGATGCTTGTAAAATATTTTAGTGAGCTTAAATGGCAAGAGTAAATGAAAGAAATATCTGGAAAATACTTTTTTTTTTTTTTTTTTTTTTCCAGAATCTATTACAGTTACTCATAATTACATATTTATTTAAATTTTCTTGTTCCCTTCAGACATTTTTATAAATTTATGATTAAAAAATCTACTTTTGTACTTTTATAAAATGCTTAATAATAGATATTACATTTTTATAAACTTGTAAATATAAAATTATTCTTGTAAATAAGCAACCTAATAAAATAGTGTATAATATTTTTATCGTTAATTGTTGGGAAAAAAAAAAAAAAAAAGAATGCAGTTTCATGCTTGGGTTTTATTAAAATTCTAAAAATAACTTTTTAAAACAATAAAAATTGCCTAAGAAGTAATCCAAAATAACAATAATAATATTACAGACAGTTTTACAGAAAAGGGGCATTTGGTTTCTCTCTAGAGTTCAGCTTCAAATTAATTTCATCTTTACCAGTTTTCAAACCTTGTATTAACCCTTTTCAAACACACTGTGACTGCCCAGGTGTAGTTTAGAAAACATGTCTAAGTGACTTCTATCAGCACACAAATCCCATTATGGGCAAAAGTTATATTGCACTGATATCTGCACTTGAAAACACATTAATCTTACTTTATCATCTATAACATATCATAACATCTCCTTTCATTGTTTCAATTTCTAGTTCAGGGTTCTCACCCTTTTGAAGCCAGAGTTGAAATTGTCAAACCATTTTTTAATTTTATATTTATTTAAATTTTAACCCTCAAACTCCATTTTTACATTTCTAATAAAATGTTGATTTCAGGGTCATTACCCTGTTAGAGTAGGACTTGTTTTTGTAAATCATCATCTCCAAAAAATTCTTACACTCTAAAAAAAAATAACCTGAAAGGTTGATAAGTTGTAAAAAGTTAAATCAAGCAATCTATGGCAGCAAATGCTGGACAATTTCCTCATGGATGAATAGAAGACTGAAGGCAACAGAAATAAGAATTCCATGGACAAAGCATGTAAGCAATGAAGAAGTCTTAAGGAAAACAAATGTCATTTCAAAGGCAAAAGCAACCTACCTGACAAACTTCTGTGACTACATGGTAGAACAGAAAGTGGAAGGGATGATAAAAAGACTAATGTTACTAAGAGCCGCACAGGGTAGGAGGTTATGTATAGCCATAATCGCTTATGTTTTGAAGGGACACATCACATAGACATAGTAGTTGCAAGTTTTGAAAAGTTAATTGGAAGCAGCTATGGATTGCTAGATAAGTCAGTCCATCTTTACTTTCTCAAAAAGATGCACACACTTTAACACTTTGATAAATTATTGTTTATGCTTATCTTTGCTTTGTTTAATATCTGATTGCTAAAATTGAACATGTTTTCATTTGTCTTTGCAAAATTTTCTGAATCCTTTTGTTTTCCCTTTTTTCAGATCCCAATGAGCACTTCTCTTGGACATTTGTCACGCATGTTGGACACTGACCATTTTGTTCTTGTCGTACATAATCAACGACAACGTAAGTTTCAAAACTATTCTCTTGAAATTGGAGGAAAGAATGCCTTTAAAGCTAAAAAAACTGTCTGCCATTTTCTTTAAATCTTTGCTAAACAGGATGAAATTTTAAAATCTGAAATTAGCTCTTAATACTTTCAAATCATATCAATTTTTTTCACAAAATTTTCTTTTTAAGAAAATAGGTAAATCTTTAAAAAAAAAAAAAAAAAAAAATTATTTTTCTTTCATTCTCTCTCCTCTCAACTCCATAGGTGATTGTATCAATATACTTTTATTATTTATTCAAACTATTGTCCTCCTCTCTATTTTCATAGATGTTATTATACACACAGTGTTTTGGCAAAGTACTCTCTGGCTATCTTCAGTTTTGTATCAACATGCTAGCTGTGCAATAATCAAACCTTCAGGATCCACTCTAATAATCTCTAGACAGAAAAAAAGAAAAAAAATTATTTTCACTGAACTTAAAGTAAAAAGTACTAATTAATACAGTTAATCATGATTAGGAAATTGTTGCCAATTTCTTGTTTAAGACTTCAAATATCCATTTTAAAAAATTTATTTTTTTATTTTTTTTCCAGTTTCTTCATGAAATAAAAACTAATTATTAATTAATTTATTTTTATTTAGTAACCATTATTGTTTCTGCCTTAATTTCTGGGATGAAGAGTTACCATTTACACTATTTACATTTGGACTGTTGTCCTCATCCTTGCTGTTGTTGTCACCCAACAAAGATAGGGACAATAGTCTGAATGTAAATAGTACATTATCATGTTGTTTTTTTTTTTGGGGGGGGGGTATGAAATATAGTTCCAATTTAAAAAAAAAAATAAAACAAAAGAACAATGTATCTTTTAAAAAACAAATCAAATTTTCATTTTTTTTTAAATCCAGCACAAAAATGAATAATTTTAACTTAAAATGAATGAATTCTTCAGACATGTTTTATGTAAATTGGTGGTCAATATTATTTTTTTTTTTTTTTTTTACAATCTAAACTAAATAAAAAAAACAAAATGAATCCTTGCTTATTTTAGTAACAACAGTAAATAAAAAGATTGGTTATCATTAAAAATATTTATTTTTAATGTTATAAAGAAAACTTAATTTCATTTAACACCAGAGTTATTATCAACATCAAGTTAAAAATTAAACCTGTAAAAATGAAAATAACCCTAACCAAAAAAGAGAATTGTGGATCAATTTCTATGCAAAAATTATTATCTTTAGCCATTATGGTTGATGTGCTGATAATTTGAGAATTTTTGTTTCTAAATTTTTATCCCCTATTATTGAATATAGAATTTGATTACATTTTAAACATTTTTGTACCACCATTATTTTGCCTCAAGACATCAGGTTTACCACAACACTGGGTAGTCTTTCTTTGATACTTCAAGAAATTTCCATGTCATAAAATGTTGTTGGTGAATTTTGCCATGATTAATGTAGTTTGATAAGTTTAAACATTTTGAATGTTAGATTTTCTAAATAGATTGTCAGAAAATGTCACCATTTCTTATGTTCTTTTACATCCAAAATGTGCATCTAAATGCTTAGAGCAGAATATGAGTTTATTTGAATAATTAAGCAATTTTATTTGAATTACCTCAGTTAAGCAAGAACTACCAAGTTGGGTGAGATAGAAAACATGCTGCATTTATTGTCACAATTTTACATACTAGAAGTTTTTTGCAACATGCTGACATGTTTTAAAATCCTCAGAGTATTTAGTATTGAAGTTATTGCTTCCTCTGCCCATTTCAAATTCTCCCTACTTTGCATTATATTTTACCATAATAAAATAATATATAAAAACTTAAAAGATATGCAAAAACTATATTGCATTTTTATTAGATGAGTATTTATTTTAATCATTAATTTCTTTTTTTAATAGTGGGAGTATTTTGTATGTTAAATAAAAAACTTAATTTTTCTCCCAAAAATGAATTAAATTTTCTTGTACTAAGCTATGCACCCTAATAAAACCAACTGTACTTTGCCCCCCCCCTTACCTGTTTGCACTTCTCAAAATTTGGTTTCGATCAGCCAATGTATGGCTTTTAGAGGGTGTCACAGATAGGACTAACGGAAGCCACAGAATTTTATATATGGATAGATTTGTGCATTTGTGAACTTTATATTTAATTTTTAAAGGTTTTCAAGTGGAGATCACACACACACACACAGTGCTTTATATATTAGATGTGATATATGAAGACTGAGTTGCATGAGGAAAATGAAAATAGACAAGTACATTTAACATTTAAGAATCCAGATTAAGTCGAATGTGATTGGTGTCTAGACTAGAGAATATTGTGCCAAACTTAAATCTATTTAGATACAAGTTGTGCCAGTGCATAAGAAAAACATGAAAATATTGAGAAAAAATATTTATGTACATTGCTTGGACTATTGTCCTCATCTTCATTGTCATATTCATAACCTTTTGGCCGTTGTATGCTCCAGCCTTCTTCAGGTGTTATCACTTTAGAATGTGTCCCACTGTATTTTTGAAATGGCTCCCAGTGGATAAAAATGTTGGTTGAAGTAATCTAGTGACCTGACCCCAAGAGTTATGAGCTTGAATACCTGCCCACAGCAAAGGCAAACAAAAACTTGGAGAGTTGAATTACTAAAAGGAAACTGACAATGAGATATCTTAAAAAGGTATGGCACGTGGAACTAGAACAATCTACACCAGTGGATGAAATAAAGGGTTTGGTTGGAAATTCCAATATATAACACCTGAAGGAGGCTGGAGTGTACAATGACCAAAATGTCATGACTCTGACAATGAAGATGAGGACAATAGTTGGAACAATGTAAATAGAAATAAATAGTTACAATACCTAATCTCGGAAATACAGATTTTTTTTTATCTGTCTATTTGTTAAATTAATAATATTAAGTCTTTTAAATAAATGTCTTTTGCTTTTAAAGCAAGTCTTTCAACAGAATTTTTTTTTTTCTTTAGTTTTGGAGAATTTATAGAGAATTTATATAAACAAGTGTGTATATGTACAAAAAATAATGAGTAGGTAGGTGGGGAGTATACTTTGTTGGAGATAGAAAAGAAGAAAGTTTTTTTTTTTATCAAAACTTCACATTTCTTATCAGCAAGTACAGATAATGCCAGTTTTGTTTTTAAATTATTTTTTTTATATTGATCAGTGTTTCTGATTTATTTCGCAGTTTTTACATTAATAAAAGTAAACATGCTGAACAAAAATGTAACATTTTAATTGATTCACTATGCCTAGTTCATAAACACTTTTTGGCTAGAATCCCAGAATGCCAAGTGGGGAAAAAAATAAAGTGCTGAAAAGATAAGTTTTGAAACTAATACCTCCAATTTATGTAGGCATGTGATATAAAAAGTGGATGTTAGTGATATGGCCATAGAACTTGGATCTTCTTACCAATAACCCATGTTTTTTTTTCTTTTTTACCTTATTTACAGCAGTCCCAAAAGTGTATATAGAGTGGTAATGGTAAGTCTAATTGATTTGATAAGGTCAAATTAGCAGCTGATCACAAAATTGACCTACAATCCATTGTTAACTGAAGCAAGAAATAGCTTGTTAATTTTAATGCCTCCAAAATGAAATTGCTTTCTTTTAATCATCTTAGAAAACCTTATTTGCCTTTCATCAGCATGGCTGATGCTAACCTCCAGGAGAGTGACTCATTGTGCTTTCTCAGGCTAACATTTTCTGTTGACATGAAATGGAAAGATTATATTGAATCAAATGCTGGGTCTGCTGCTAGGAAAAGTTGGTTCACTGTGTCAGGCAAGATTTTTTCTCACCAGAATTTGTTACATATTTATAAGTGTAGCATTAATCCATTCATTAAATATTGCTGTCACATCTTGTCTAGTGCTTCTATGTATCTAAAGATTCTTGATAAAATCCAAAAAAATCATCTGCAATGTTATTGGTCCTGACCTGGTATTTTGTCTTCAGTCACTTTCCTACTGTCATAATGTTGCTTCACTGTAGCCTTTCTATAAATACTTTCATGGTAAATAGTGTTATCACCTCTGGGATAATACTATGGGAATCAAATACTTTTTCTTAAGTGCAGTATTAGATTGGCAGCAAGGTTTCATCACTAAAATTTGGTCATAATTGCATGTTACTCGAGTATATATGGTAATTTATCTATTTTTGAAAACTGAAGGGAATTAATTTTGGTCATAGAACCAGTGAACTTGTTCTGATGAGCTTTCCTCTATAGTACCAAGACTTTATGAATTTAAGTGCAGTATTAGATTGGCAGCAAAGTTTCCTCTTTTTACATTTGAAATGGCTAAATGTAACTAATTTCTATCCTATTAGTTCCTTTTCTTGCACTTCTCACTTGTGGAATTCTCTTCTGGTTTCTTGCTTTCCAGTCAAATTTGTTTTTCAAAAATTTAAATGCAATCTTGGTCATTGTCTTCAATCTCAATTCCTGTTCTTTCATTAAAATTTTTTTTTTCTAATTCTTTTACACTCTGTAACTGCTTGCATGTTAGTGGCTTTATATCCTTGCTTGGGATGAAAAGATTAAAAAAAATGTATTATTGATAAGGATAATGTAGATATATTGATTGGAATCAATGGCTTGTTTGAATTGTTTATTAAAATTACACAAGTTGAAGAATCAGTTTTGAAATTCTATTGGCCTTTAAAACCATCATAGACGTGTTGGTTTTTTTTTTTTTTTTTTTTTTTTTTTTAAAAGTGTATGTCAAAGGAATTTAATACATCACTGTAGACATGCTTAACTGAATAACGTGAAGAGAACTTAAAAAAAATATGTATTCATCATTCTTATTGGTAGAAAATTGTAATTTAAGAAAGTTATTCAAAGACTGTGTTTTGGATGTCATTTTTCTGGAAAAAAATCTGAGAATTTTCATATGTATGTTATTAGCTAGATTGCTAACTTAGAGATGAACCAAGTTTGAAAAATTCACAGAACTCTGCTACACTAGTTTATATATTCTGTTTTCTGATGCGATCAATTTTGGTTGGAACCTTTTAAAAATAGCTACCATATATACTCATGTATCATGTGAATTTTGAAGACCTAATTTTGAACCTATTTTTTAGGTGGTCACACCAAAATGTGACATAAAATTAGCTTATGTACTGTTGGCACTGGCTATGCTGTTGACCAGACTATATATTCATTTACTGTAGTCAAAAAGTACAGCTGTATTTAAAATAAAAATCGCATGTTACTCAAGTACATATGGTAATTTATCCATTTTTGAAAATTGAAGGGAATTAATTTTGGTCATATAACTGAAAATGTAAGTCTTACAATAATATTGTGTGGAATTCATTTGTCTCATTAGATCATGGATCTGTGTTTGGAGAGATCTTTGCTTTTATTTATTTATTTTTTTTTTTCAGTTCATCTGTTAACGAAGAAAAATAGTCTAGCCACTCCCACAATAACGAATTTTGTAACGGACCATGCCTAAAAACACACGTAAACCGAGAGATAGCTTATTCCTAAAATTTCGCTTGAAGATGAAACGGGACTAAACACCTCAATTCAACTTAATTTTAATAATTATTTGGATGGTTTTGGCTCTCGTTTTTGAAACATGAGAACTCTTATGTAGCGAAGGAATCATTTTTAAACAAAAATATTATTATAATAAAGCCCTACTTCTGTACGGAGCACTATCTTCTTAAAAATGAAAACAAAAATGAAAACAAAAATACTAAGGAACCCTGGATTATGCACCCAACGTGTTCTTTTCTATTTTCTGCATACCTGTTCACTCTATATCTATCTATATATATATATATATATATATATATATATAATCAATTTCCACCCCCCCATGAGGGATGCTTGCCATCTGTGTTGTTTCAGGATTTGCCAGAACAAGAATGGGTGCAAGATATTGAAGTGCATTTGGGATTCCAGCTACAGATTTTATCCTCAAGATTTGTTCTAGTAGCCATTCTTGTAAAAGGACATGACCATAAAGTGGCAGAGGTTTTGAAGTTGGTTTTTCTTTTAAATGGACTGATTTCTCAGATTAATGAGTACATCTATCTGATTTAAGCATTACCTCTCTTATTGCATTTTGGGTATTTCCATTAAAAAGGTAATGGTTCTTTGTTTAAAGAAATTGGACTTCTGATTGAAAATTCATTCCAAAGCTTTAAATTGAATCTAGAGCAAACTTCTGCACTACTTTTTATCTGTTTGCTCATTGGAGATTTTCTTAAAGTACTGAACTGTTGGGTAATATCAGTCCCCCTATATGGCAGTGAATACTGGCTTTTTTAAGCATTCTCACTTTCATCATTGGCTTACACAAGAAATCCTAAGTTAACTCACCACACTATCTCAGCAACATTTAATCAAAAACTCTTTTCAAATTGAGTATTCTACGGTGCAAAATGATTTAAAGATTTAATTTGCTCCATTGGAGAAAAAAAACCAAAAAAAAAAAAACCTGAATATTATCCATTGGCTTGTTTTTGTTTATTTTTTAATTATTTTTTGTGTGAGAGGAAATAAGAGGGAGGAGGAGGAGTTTAATTGGTAAATTATATTACTAGCTGAGACCGAGATAGTCACAATCCAGCAACCATTTTGAAAAATATTCACTACTGCATTACAAGCTTTCACAAAACATTGTTTTAAAGTTATTTATATCTTGGGGTAATTATTATTTCTTTTATTATAGATTTATTAGAATTATCTATTTTTTTTATTTTTTTTTTTAAATTTTTTTTATATAATTTTATTTTTTAACTCCTGAATATTTTCCATTTATTTTTGAAAATTTATTGAAATTTTATTTGTAATTTTGCAACCCATTTTTAATGTCTTAGAATCTTTTTTAAATTATGATAAAGAAAATTTAAGTTTTTTATTTTCTTATCAATTTACTACTATTGAATTTATTTCAGATGTTAACGACATTCGTGTTGTCAAGAGTAAAGAAGATATAGGCAAGCATCAATTGCATTGCTAACATTTTAATAACAGCCATTTTTTTTCTTTTTTGCATTCACTTCTCTTAATTTTCTTTTCACTTGCTTTTTTTCTTGTCTGCTGTGGAATGCACCATTTTGTAAATGTTTTTGTAATACACGCTTTATTTGCAAAATTGTTTCAAAACATATTTGGAAATAACTGCGTCTTTTAATTTTTATTTAATGGATAATTTATTTTATTTTTTTGTACTTAGTACTAACTGGAGGTAGATGTGTTATGACAAATAACAACTTCATGTGCCTAAAAGTTTTTTTTTCTCTCTTCTGCTTGAAAGAAATTTCTGTAATGTTGTAAACATATTTTTTTAATACCATTTGTAATTTTGCAAAGCCTCAGTTACTCCAAGAGTTCTTCAGAATATTGATTTAATTCTTTTGTTGCTTTCTCTGTGTTTTGGCTGATCCATTCTATAGAGATGGTTTTTTTTTTTTTTTTGTTGGAAGTACAAACAAAAATGGCAGCAAATATGTTGATCAAACCAACCTATAAAACACAAACAAATTCTATAATGTTTTAGCAGCAAAAAGAGTATAATGTTCCAAAAAAACTCTTGGTAGTTTTCAATATTAGAAATATTTCTAATTAACCCAAGTCTGACAAATTCTCATCATTATTATTACTAATCTTGTACAGTGTAACCCAGATATAAGAGATTTTCTCTGGTCCCAAATTAGAGCCTGTGTTAATGTATACATATAGACCAAGCCTGGATATAAGAGAAACCCGGATATAAGAGACTTCTTCTCCGGTCCCGACAACTCTCTTATATCCGGGTTACACTGTACCAAGCTTATAATTAAAAAGGAAAATGAGAAAACTTGAGATTAACATATGAATGAACACTTGTGTGCTCTGTCTAGGTTTAGTCTAATATTTGTGCACTCTGATTAAACTGTTTATTTTTTTTTTATTTTATAAGTGAATTTTACCATTTTGCCCAAACAGCAGAACACTGACATGGTGGATATGTAACTTGCCTGCTTACCCCTATGTTGCATATTCAAATCAGGGCAGGTGTCATTTGTTAATTTTCTATTGGAAGTTAAAAAAAAAAAAAAAAAAACACATACAGAAAAGTTCACACTGTTCATTATTATTAAATTTATTATTATTTTTAGTAGTAGTACTTTTTGTAAATATTCCCTAAAGTTTATCTATTTTGTCATAGGAGTAGCTGAAACTCCCTAAAAATAGCTTTTGAAGTAAGCTGCTTTTGTGTTTGTAACAAATGCTAAAATTACTAAACCTATTTTTAAGGCAAGACAGAAGAAAGCAGCAAATAAACCTAACAAACAAGATTGTGCAAATGGTTGGTAGAACAGGGATTAGGAGAGATAGCAGAAAGATAAGATTTACTAAGTGTTACAAAGGACAGGAAATTGAGAACCATGATCACCCACGTCCTGAAGGGACATGGCATATAGAAGAAAAATCTCCATCTTTGTTTATGTCCTTTTTTAACACTCATATTCCTGGAAAATCAAAAATTTAAAAATTTTCTGTTTTTTTTTTTTCTGTAAAATTCTCATTTCATTTTAATTTTTTTTTCTCTTCACTGCTTGGTAATTGAATGACAAAATAGAAAAAATCCTATGTAACATGTTTTGTCCTTTTAAAATAACTTCAGACTAAATAAAGTTTTTATTGATGGAATCATATATGTAGCAGGTTAGAACAAAAATATAAACAAACCCTGACTTCATTTAACTTACCATTTTTTTTTTTTTTTTTTTTTTTTTTTTTTTTTTTTTTTCAAATATCAGGACATAGACATTAAATTATTTTGCAGGAACTTAAGAATAAAGACGTTCTTCTCAGATCAATGAATGAAAATGGGATTTAGTATTTGGCATGCTTGCATGTTGTGTTCATTAAAAAGTTGTTTTTCTCTAATTTTGCAATACTTCTTTTTTCTGTGGCTTTTAATGATTATTTTTAATCTGCAAAACTTTGTCTATTGCTTATCAAAATATCTAAATCGATGCTTCACAATCTTTTGCTTTTATTCATTACGGAAAAGTCCTTTTTACCCAATGTAAGTAAAACACTAAAATATAAGGACATTTGTTAGCACTTCATCTTGGGGTGGAGGGGAAAAATATGAAAGATTTTAAAACTCTTATGAATCGATGTATTGCAAAAGGTAAAGTCCAATCTCTATCCTACATCAGAATTGGTAGGAACATTTTTTTTTGTAAATTATTCCATGATGTCTTAGCTAATTTTGAGAAACGCTGAGATAAATGTTTAATACTTACTTAATATATAATAATAAAAAAATAACATCAATATTAGCAATGATAAAAGATAAAAAAATACAGAATATTGAACATGAATTAGTCTATGAAACATTCAAACCATTTTTATGCCGAAAAGTTTTTCATATTAGATGTTTTGAGAGTAGAGTTAAAAAGCCTTTAACCAAACTTATATTTGGCTTTTTTTTTTTTTTTTTTTTTTTTTTTTTTTTTTTTTTTTTTTTTTTTTTTTTTGTTTTTTTGTTTTTTTGTTTTTTTTTTTTTTTTTATAAAAAAAAATTCCACAAAGTTAAAAAGAAATGTTGTCATTTACAATATCCCTATCACCTAATCTGCTTTCATTAGAACACTGTAAGATAATTTTTTAAAATATAGGAAAATCTATTAAGAGACTAAATTACTTAGACTTTTTTTTTTTTTTTTCAATAATGACCTTTAGATATTTCAGAGGTTTGAAATATATAAAAATGATCTATTTAAAAATTATATAAACTGATAGCTATATTTAGACTAGTTTCCATAAAAAAAATATAACATGACAATAGGTAAAAAAAAAAAGCACAGCAGATATTAAAGATTTTCTATTTTTGAAAATAGAATTGAAACATTTCAAATATAATAAAAAAAAAAAAATAAATAATAATAATCATTAGCAATGACAAAAGATCACTTTAAAAATGTATGTTTTTATTCATTATGAAAACAATCTTAGATTCCAGACTAAAAGAATTAATTTATTAGTTATCAGCTTAAATGTTTTGCTATCAAGTGTTCCACTGGTCAGATTAAAAGAAAATTAAAGTGTCTGAAGTAGAAGTCATAGCAGTATTCATTATTGGTGGCTACAATCTTAACATAAGTCTTAATTAATTTTAACGTAAGATATGCAGACGACATGGTGTTGATAGCCGACACAAAAAGGAAATGACAAGAACTCCAGAAGGTAGTGAAAAAAAGCGAGAGGAAATGACTGAACATCAATTGCAAGAAAACTGCATGGTTGTTAGCAAAAGGGACAGATCAACATGCAAATTACAAATTGGAGATAGTAAAGTCTAACAATTTAGATATCTGGGAAGCATATTAACAGAGGACAGGAAGTGTGACACTGAAATCTGAAGTTGCATTGGGAAAGCAAAAAATGCCTTCCATAATGTAAGGTGAAGTATTAAGAAACAGGAAAATTATCATTAGAAACAAAGAAAAGAGTACTGAACTGTTACGTGATATCAGTCCTCTTATATGGCAGTGAATGCTGGACAATCGCCTCAGATGAAAAAGAGACTTTAAGCAAAAGAAATGTGGTTTTATAACAATCAAGTTCTAGAGACAATGGCAACAAAAATTGTTATAATTAACATCAGGAAGAGATATTTGAAATTTCTAGGGCACATAATGAGGAAAGCAGGCTTGGAAAATTTCATACTCACAAGACATAACCAACCTGGCAAGCTTGACTGAATGGATGGTGGAGCAGGGTTTGGAAAAGATATTAAAGACAAAATCAATTAGAGCTAAAAAGAACAGGAAATTGTGGAGAGGCAGGAACACCAAAGTCCTGAAGGGACATGGCACATAGAAGGTTAAGTGAAGAGAATACAGTAAGATTTATAAACCTATTTGATGTGAGTTTATTATATTGATGTGTGGTAGTAGAACTAAAATGTAACCTTTTATTTTTATAGTATTCAAAGAGAATAGTCATAGAAAATGAGCCAATTCTTGTTATTATTCCAGGAATTATATTTTTATCACATTTGATAGGGTATGAACCCCACCACAACCATTTTTTTTTTTTTTTTTTTTTAAATATATTTAATATCATATAGCAGCAGCTGCTAAAATAATTTACAAAATAAAGAAAATGGAGTGTTTGAGAGGAAATGTTAATATTTTCATTTTCTTTTTCTTTATTTTTGTTGTAAAGTACTTGGTAGAAAACGTCTTTAAATTTGAATATTTCTCTCCTGTCAGTAAGATTTTATTTTAATTCCCCAACAACTCTATTCTTTTCCTGACGTTTTGCAATGCACTCTCTGAATGCAGATTTAGCGCAGAAAAATATTATGGCTGCAGCACTTAACTTTTGGCCTTTCTTACTGACTTTAAAGTTAACTGATTCTTGTACCAGATTCAAAAACAGTGTTAAATTACAACTGTGGATATTCTTGTTTTTTGTTCTGCTCTTAGAACTTGCTGGGTTCCTCTAAGTACAATTATGAAAGTGAATAAGTTTTCCTGTATTTGTTGAATAAATTCTGCCTATAATTAATTATCTCATAATTAGACATTTTATGGGAATTTGAATACTTAATGAAACCAACAATTTTTCATCTTGTTTATTTGTTTTGTTTTTTTTTTTTTTTTTTCTTAATCTTTTCAACCACAATTCAATGTTTTATTTTATTGAACAAGCTTAATGATTATAAAATCAATTTATTTATCTGGGATCTTATCTTTTCAGTTGGAAACTCTGGTGGCATCACAATGAAGAGTATGATTTTTGGCATTGCAACCCGTGTGGACTTGCTGAATTTCTTGACAGAAGAAAACCCGTATGAAGCTGGAGTTGAGAATATAGAGTAAAGTTTAACAAACTAGGTGGAAGGACAAAAGGTGCTAAACATGTCATTTGTAGGGGTTTTTAATTTGCTTTAAATTTAATATTAATAATAATAATACTAACATTAATGTTTTGGGTTTTGAGGGAGTTTCAAGCAACCAGATTTGGATTTGAACAACAAAAGCACATTTATTTTTATCATTTTCATTCGTCTATTTCCAGCATTATCAAAAAAATATTTTTCCATAAATTTTATTATTTTTGCACATAAATAAGTGCATACAGACTTTAAATATTTCCCTGCAGACAAAATAACAATGAATTTTTTGAATTAGTGATTCTTTTATACCTGTATCGTCATCTTGTTTTTATCTAGTGTTGGTTTACTATACCTTCATGTATTTTTCATATCGATAACATTCAGTAAATGTTGAATGGGCACATAATTGCATTTCCATATTGGTAAATTGCCTTATCTGTTCTGAATAGAAAAGGCAGTTGAATAAAGTCTGAGGGAGACACCAAAATGAAGATTTGATTTTAAAATATCATTCTATAATATTCATACACATACACGCACTCTTTCAATAGAAACATTACAAATAAAAATTAGGTGCTAACATATATTTTTCAGTATGAATTTGAGGATGAGGACCACATAGATTTCTGGTCCTTTTTTAACTTTACATCAATTTTCATGTTTCTTAATTGATGAGGTTTACTAACTACATTAAAATCTTTGTTAGTAGTCATTACTAAAACAATGTGAGGTCATTTGTTTACACTCTTCTCTCGGTTTTAAAAATTTATTAAATATAAAATATTTCTCGTACAATGGATTACTCCCCCTGGCCTTGATTCAAAGAATAATAAAAAATTTTTTTTTTTAAATTTATTTTTTTGTAGTATGTTTGTTTTTTTTTTTTTTTTTTTTTTTTTTGTTGTAGCATGCAACATAGTCCAAGAGAAATTACAAAAGTTTGAAGAACTAGTTTCTGGAATGTTGTAAAATTAAATTTCTATTTTATCACTTCTCAGCTGTTTTCTAAAATTAGGTTTGCACCACTTGCTGGTGCTGAGTTTTTTATTTTATACAAAAATATGGAAATATTTGACACCATGAAGATGATTCATTTTGAAAAGAAAAAAAATATGGCTATAAAAAGGACAAATTCCTGAAACTAACCATTAAATATGTTCCATAAGTCACAGCTAATTTGACTGTTAATTATAGCAACTGAAAAACATTACTGGTTCTCAAACTCAGCTCAGTAAAAGATAATTCATTATGTGAAAAATGATCTACAATAAAAGCTTAACCAAATATTTTTATGTATCAACCATACCAATATTGGATAACTAAACTTATATATATATATATATATATATCTCAAAGAAAACTATTATACTTGTAAAATCTGGTTTACACAAAGTTTTAGTTTGTATAGTTGTTTGTTATTAAACACTTGCTAAAAATAATTTGTTCTTAATACACTATTTAACAGCATATTTCTCTTTAAAAAAAATTACTTTTCAAATAACCTAATTGGAAGAGAATTGTAAAAAAAAAATGGCTTGCTTTGTAACAAGTTTCTAAGAATTAGACAAGTCTTTAACACTAAATGTGGCTTAAGAAATAGATGACTTCTGTTTTTGCATCTTTGAGGATTTCAAAAATCTTTTGTGCTCAAGCAAATGAAATCAAAACCAACATCAGCCATTGTTTTTAGCTATTTATGTCATTTCTGAAAATATACAAATAAGTTTGACTTACAGTAATTTACCTGCTATATGACTGACAGCATTTTCTGTTAGTAACAAGAGAATTCATTGAATTGTATTAACAAACAAGAAGTAAGGATATATTTATTTCAATTATCACATACAAATGTTGCTTGATAATATTTCACTGTAGACTGCAGTAATAACAGTTCAGTCAAAATTTTAAAGTTTCTACAAAACTAGATTTTATTTCTAACATGGTAACAATTGTATAAAAGTATGAAATGTTTTCCTTACTTCAAGCTAAACTTTATTTTGGTTGATAGATAAATGAAAGTCATGTCATACAATAAGTAGGGAGAAAACGTTCACGAATGAATGATTCATTGTAGGAGTTACTTCCCTTGAACATTAACTTGTACAATTTTTAATCCATCCGCAAACGTCACATTAGTTGATGTATCGGCCAGATATGAAAGAATTTACAAGAGGAAAATTAATGAAGTTCTTAGAGAAATAATGGAACAGTAAAAAAAAAAAAAGTTGTGTATATGTCAAAATTCAGTAAGGAGTTACAACTCGTTTTATAAAAAGCAAGGATTGGAATCTTTAAAATGAGGAATTCTATACTTTATTCTTCAGACTATGATCATCTTGATTGTTACATTTCAGAAGAAAATCTGACTGTATTCCATGCTATCTATTTGTAACAATGAGGGAAAGATGATCATTAAAAACAACGTGAAGTCAAAATAAAAAACAGAAGAATTGGAGATAAGATGATTGTTAGCTTAACATGTCTGTTCTTTCAATCTCTAGTAGACCTAGCATAGAGATGATCAGCATCCAGAAACCTGATTTAAATGAAAGGCTCAAATTTAATCCACTAGTTCCTATACATGTTGGGCAATGCAGTGATAAAAGTGCTAGTTAAAATATTGAACTCACACACACTCCTTTGTGTGTATGAGTTCAATCCCTGTGTCTGGTAGTGCAAAACAGCCGTACACTGTCAGGCAGGGATTGAATAACAATGATCAATGGTACTTATTTCAAATATGTATTTAGTTTCAAACTTATTTTCCTTAACTTTTATTATTTACATATTTCAAACATGCAAAGGAAATCATAATTCACTGTCAACTTTAAAATTATTTAAATTATGTGTTAGAATTGTAGAAAATGTTTTTGTATTCAATAATAAATTCTGAGAAGATTGCTTCCTGTTGAATCAACTTGATGACTAGAAACTTAAAGTAGTGAGCCAATACATCTTGGCTTTATTATCAGTGACGAGGATTTCAAAATCAGCACAAACAGTAACGGTTTTAGCAAAACTAAACCTCCTGGAAAGACTAGAACATCTGACTGAAATCAAAGACTGTCGCATGTAACTGGCCTTCTCAGTCTGCTTGTACACCTGCAAATCTTGATTAAGCCGTTGTTAATATATTCAGAGCAAGTAAAATATACATGACAAGCAAAGAGAGAAATTTGGCAATAATTTGCACAAGAACAAATCTGACAAATAAGGAGAAAGGACCTTTCAACCAATATAAAAGTTGGTGGTTGGAAACTTAAAATAGTGATCCAATACTTTGGCTTGATCATCAGTGAAGAGGACTTCATAATGGAAAGAATTTCAAGAGCAACACAATGACAGCTGTGGCAAAACTAAGGACAATCTGGGAAGATGAGACCATCTACCTTAAACAAAACTATTGACCTTTGATTAGATTATTGCATGCATTAACCTATTGATGTCTTTCTGTGAAACTTGGACATTAACAGCAGAATTACTGAAAAAAAAAAAATCCAAGCATTAGAAAGGGTAATGCTGCAGAAGCATCCTGGCCATCTCCTATGTAGAAGACCTTAACAAACAGAAAGGTGAAATGATATGGCCACATCAAAAGAATCAACACTCTTTCCACTACCAAGTTATCAGCTTAAGCAAAAAAAAACGGGAAAATGTGCTGAGTAGACGGGAAGGTAATTCAGAGACAGACATTGGCACGTAGCATATCAAACCAGTGATCACATCTGGTTGGAATTTCTAGCTTCAGAGAAATTTCTTCAACAGCAATGGAGTTAAAATGATGACAAATATTTGCTAACTCATTAATATCTACTATTTAAGGAATGTTTTTAAAACTTTATTTAAATATTTTATTAAATTTTATAAAATTTGATAGGTTGCCCAGTTTGTAAGTTCATTGCAAAGTGAGTCCCCTCCAAAAAACAAAATATGTTCACATTTAAAATTAGAAAAAAAAAAAAATTTTTAATTTAATTTATAATCTGGAGTTCTTTTTCATATGTAACTCTTGATTAAGCACTCCAGAAATATCATAGCATATTTTGTTTTGGCTTCCATTGGGAAAGGGGAGGGGGAGAGAAAGAGATCAATTTACTGGACCCCCACTTAACTTTTATAAAATTCTAATTACAAAAAATTGTCTTCAATATTTGTAATCTGAAATGCTTATTAATGATTTAGTGATACAAAGATGGTGGGAGAAGTGGTGTATTTATACTTTTCCCAAAGGTATAGTAACATGAAAGAAAAAAAAAAAAAAAACATTTTGGAAAAACTGATTATTTCTGGTTGCATTGTCTCTTGTATGACACCACCCTTAACATGGCACAAAGCCAAAAGTATGAGGCACCCAATGAGGATTGAACTCACTACATAATTGTAATTGTTCTAGTGTGACAAGATTGCTAACCATTACACCATGTCAAAGTGCACCTTAATATGGCAAATGACTTATTTTAACATGAAAAAAATAAATTACTGCAAACAGAAAAGGGAAGAGTATTACTTGAGATTTTCTGTTATTTGATTTCCAATGGAAGCCACTAATTACTATTTGACTGAACACTCACTGAGCAAGTGTAAGCTCCCACCTTTTGATCAGCCCATTTTCCACGCGTCGTCTGATGACAGGATTCAATTAATCATTCTAAAACCTCTTCACCGATTTGATAGTGTCTAAAGAAGAATTTGAAAGGGAAGTTAACACTTCATTCCCTAGTTATGGGTTAAATAGTAGGGTAGACTGGGTTGTGTAGCCAGTCTAGGAAAAGGACTACTCTGAATTCAAAATCACAGAAGACAACTGAAAACCAATTCGTTATCTTTCCCAAGAAATCATAATTCAAAGAAAAAGGATCTATGGGGTGTTGCAATTAAGGAACATGGTATTTAAAAAAAAAAAGCTAACAGATAAACCATTTGCAATATTTGTGCCTGTTAGAAAAAAAAAAAAAAAAAAAAAGATTTTCATTAGCTGCCAATTCTGAAAAAAATTGCTATGAATCATCTGACATTTTACAAGATTATTTGAGCAAACATTTTAAATTCACAATACTTGAATTGACAAGTTTTCTTTTGACTGTTATATGGCATAGACCAAAAGTACATATGTTTGGATATGAAATTGTTTGAATATTTACAATTGTAACAATCATCTCATAAGAGAAAATATTCTTAATCTCTCCCCCACCCAAATTAAGAATAATAATTAAAAAAGAAAATATAAGTGATACAAGCCCTACTAATTAACCCATAGCTGGAGTAGAGAGAGAAGTGATGTATTCATGCTTTTCCAAAGGGTATTTGTGCATAAGTGAATATAACACCACCCAACTAGAATTGGAACTCTACTCTCTGATTTCGAATTCTGAACCATTATCCCTTACAGCACCTGGTATTCTCAAGTGATCACTCATCTAGGTACTGACCAGACTCGATGTTGCTTAACTTTGGTGAATGTATAGGAACTGGTGTTTCAATGTGATGTTGCTGTAGGCACAAACGACTATTACCCAATTCATAACATACCATCATATAACACACCAACAATTTAGCAAGGAATATTCTGAAGTTTTCGCCAGGATATAAAATTTTATTACAATAAAAAGACATATTTAAAGAACATTCAAAACAAAAAAAGAGGCGGAACAAAAATATTAATTACTGTAAATTGGTAACACCGAAATGTTTTTGATCATTACCAATTTAAGGTAATACCATATATAATCTTGTATCCTGTGACTTTTGAAGATTTTACAAGGGCCACATCATACATGAGACATAAAATTAGCATATGTACTGCTGGCATTGGCTATGCCATTGACCAAACTATATATCTTCTTACTGTAGTCAAATTAGCTTCAAAATTAGTTCTTCAAAGGTTGCATGATATGCGAATATATATGGTATATATTTTTGCTACACATTTTTTTTTGTTATGAATGTGCTTTTAATATGCTTGTTTTTACTGCAGTAATTAAGGAATATTTTAGAAAAAATTAAAAATTGTAATATTGGTATGTAATATTATTTTACTTTTTTTTAAATAACATTATTTTTATTTGTAATCAGAGTTTGACTATAATCATATATTTTTGCTGTGGTCATCCAAATGTATTTTAATGTGTTAGCATCATACAAGTAACCCAAACATTGGGGTCAATGTTGCAAGGTGATTTTGGGAGGAGTTTAAAAATGTTCACTTTATATGGCAGGAAATACATTTTCTTTTTTAATACAAAAGGCAATTCAGACATTTTGGGTTTGAAAAATGAATTAAGAATTAGAATAAATTCAGATAACTTTCAATCAACAAAAAATTTCTTGAAAGTAAACAAATTTGTTTAAGCATTAATATGGCCTTGTCCAGTCATTATTTACTTACACAAACTTAGTTTGGCACAAGGTCCCAAATACAGGCACTCAGTGAGGAACAAACTCATTACTCAGCCATAATGGTCTACAAAACTAGCTTTGTTGATCATTAACCAATTGATTGAATTTTTTTTTTTTTTTAAGGAACCCAAATGTTCGTAAGTGTGAAATGAAGTCCTCAGATGTTGATGGTAAATAACAATGATTATTATTATTATCCCTCAACTTATTTGGACAAGTATCCTCATCATTGTTGTTGTTTTGAACTGATTTAAACCAATGCATTTCCTGACCCTCTTAATCATACTTATTATAAAATGCAGGTTGTGTGTGTGTCTGTACGTTTATATATTGGATCGGATTTTCTACATTTTTCAACTGATTTCAACAAAACTTCACAGGACTACGTGGTTCTAACAGTGCCAAAAATTGGAAAAAAAAACAATTGTTTTTGCACGAAATCAATTTGAAAACACGATTAGGAGGCATTAATGAAAGGGGACAACTCATATCAAGTTATACTTATTATAAAATCCAGGTTGTTGTGTTGTTTGTGTGTGTGTTCGTTTATATATGGGATCGGATTTCCTACATTTTTCAACTGATTTCAACAAAACTTCACTTTTTTTTTTTTTTTTGGCTTCAGGTAGTGTTTCTTATTGTCTTGCACACTTTTTTCTTTTATTTTTACATTCAGAATGCTTTAAAATTTCATTTACAAGACAATTGTTTATAATAAAATTCTATTCAATGTTTTTGTTTTTGAGTTTGACCACCAATTTGTAAAAAAAAAAAAAAAAAAAAATTGTCCGTGCGTGTCCGTCAACCTTAAACAATAATCTTTGTCAATTTTATTTTTCAGTCTTTATGATGGTTCATACTTGATCTATCTCTTACTGTTACATCCCCGGGCAACGCTGGGCTCTACTGCTCGTGTGATATAAAGTTCTGAAATAATATGTCATCATTACTCTAGGAATAACTTAGACAATTGAATCAATTGCCACATCTGCTGCTAGGAAAGTTGGTTTTCTGGTTGTGCAAAACAATATTATTTTTTTTTTTTTTTTTAAAGCATTTCACCCCAAGCAAGGTGGGAAGCCACTAACACACATGGGGTTACAGAGAACTGGATTGAGTCCAAATAGGAGTGATAGAGGAAAGGATGAAGAGAAGGATAGGGGATAGAACAAGGCATCTGGAGATGTCGATTGACATTACATTTGAATAGTTGGAGATTATAGCTATCAGGGAAACAGGAAAAGGGGAGTTCCACAGGCGAGAGCTGCAAGACATGAAGCTACTGGTGTAGAAGAGATAGCTACATTTAACAGTTTCAACAGTGAATGGATGTGAGCAAGAATTCAACCTAGTAGAATGCTTAAATTCATGAAGTCTGGGAAACAGCGAAAGCAGCTCATCAGAGCAATTACCATGAAAGTATTTGTAAAAAAGAGAGGCAACGACACGTCTGTGAGAGAGCGACTGCAGACGAGATGCCAAATCAAAGCCAATTACATTACATTACATATCCGTCTCTGGATCTTATCAAGAACCTTGAGACAAACAGAAGGAGCACCGGACCATATATGGCAGCAATACTCCATGCAAGGGCGAATGGTTAAGTGTCATAATCTAAAATATTTATAAGTCAACCAGTCATCCTTGCTTTGAATATTATCACATCTTGTCTGGATTTTATCAAGAATATCTAAATAGATAGCAGGAGCACCAAAGAAGAATATGCACTGCTATTAGTCTTGACCTGGCATCTTGGCTTCAGTCAGTTTCAGACCGCCCTAACATAGCTTCCCTGTGTCTTTTAATCACTCTGATGAACTTTTCTCTATGCTACCTTAGGCTTTATGAATTTAAGCGTACTACTCGATTGGCAGCAACATCTCATTTTACAGTTGAAATGGCAAGAAATGTAACTGTAAATTTATGCTAACAGATTCTTCTATTGCACTTCTCACTTGTGGAACTCTCTTCTGACTTTTTGCTTCTCAGTCAACTTTTCATTTAAATTTTTGAAGATCAATGTCAATTGTTATCATCTGTCTTCTTAATTCCTGTTCTTTTGTCTTTCTCCTTAATGGTGTTTTTTCTTATATTCTCTAAAATCCAGTAACCCATTGTATCTTAGTAGGTTTATTGACTAGTTTGAAGTGAAATGATTAAAAAAAAAACTTGTCTTAATTCTTGTTTTGATCACACATTATTATTATAGGCACCCTCAACTGCAATAAAATAGCAACTGCACACAAGAAATTAGTATATGTGTTGGTATCTCTGCTACAAATCGTGATTTGAATTGTTCTCATCGAAACTGAAACAAATTAACAATATATAAAACAAAAACAAAAAACATTCTGCTCAAAGAGGTTTGAAAATTACCTGAAACTTTAAAGGTGAAGTTCAAAAATATATACCAGCCAAAAAAAAAAAAAAGCACTCCCTAACCAACAATCTTTTTAATCCGCTTTCATAGAATGAGAAATCTCCATATTTTCCTTTTGATTTACAAACAAGTAGCAATAATTAAAATCAAAACTAAAAAGAGAAAAAAAAAAAAACAACATTGAAGAATAATAACTTTATCTACAAATGATCTTTGTTGTCAATGACTTCAACTACAAATAACACTTTTTAAAGGACAATTGTTTGCAATTTTTTAAGCCTTGTTAAAAAAATAAAGCCCAAAACCAAAATGTGGGGTCTTATTTTTACCCCTGAATAATAAAAAAAATGCTTTCAATTCAATCACAAGTTTCAAGTAAAAAGCAACTAACAACTTAACTGATTAAATGTTTAATTTTTTTTCATTTATAAACAATTAATTTTTCTAAAAGTCATTAACAGTCTAAATATTTTTTCCATGCAAACAACCCTTTTCTTAAAAGAATACTTAGATGGTAAGGAGCACATAACACTGATAAAAATCAATTGATCTGTTTAGCATATTAATTTTCTAGTCATTTTGCTTTGAAGGAAACAAAGAAAGGTTTACCTTTTTGCACCCCCTCCCACTATCTGATGAGCTGTATGTTGTGCCACATCAAGTCCATAAAGAAACTATTTGTCAGAATAATATTTGGAAATCATTTTCTCTTTTCATTCAACAAGCAGAGTTTTAAATTAAAAAACTCATGAATCATTAAAAAATTAATAATCTTTGGCACAAGTTATGAAAATCATCCATTTAAAAAAAAGAAAATTAACAAAATGTAAGCAAGAGATATACAAACTGGATTGGTTTAATTCACCTTTTATCATTGTTATGGTTCAAGAACCAGATTTGAGGTCAAAATTGTTTTCAGTTAAACCTCTGCTCCAACTGTGCATTATAATTTTTGTATGAATACAAAATCTCTGGCTCTTCAGTATTTATTTATTTATTTTTTTACTTTTCTTCACCCAATACAAGGCTCAAGAGCCACTCAGAGTAGGGGGTTAATGAGTGGGATTATTGTAGAGGAGAGAGAAGTAGGAAGTACATATGAGGATATGTAGGATAGATAATAGTTGACGAGACTTGAAGAGGTTAAAGTTATAGCAGATTGGAAAGCATTCTCTTGGCCGGTGAAGACGGGTGAAAAGATACATCAAAAAGACAGCATGAAACAAATTAACATATTCTCACAGCATATTTAAGTAGCCTAACATGTCATTTCCTATGCCAATATTTAAACCAATAAGTAAGAGACCTGCACTTTTGAAAATGACTGTCAATAGACAAGTTTTGATTTTTCATTTACCAAAACAAAATAAAATAATTGCAGTCAAGAACCTAAACCTGAAATGATGCCTGACTTGATTTCCCTCGGTATTGATTTCTGTATTGATAAATATAATGACCAGTGTGATCTGTATTTTTCCTTTGCTTCTTTGTTCATAACAGACTCACCCATCAGGTAGTGATTAGCAACCTAGTTTCACTACTTTCTCTCTATCAAAGTTAATGCCATTAACAATACAATTGAGTAGGCATAAAAAAAAACAAAAAAAACCTTAACAATAATGCAAAATTAATTTCTTCTTCTGCAGCAATAATTTTCACACACACCCTCCCCAGGGTATACTTCCGAAATCACCTTGAACAACTGGGTGGATCATTGTAGAAATTGGCTAAATTTTGTTTGCATGGAGAAAAAAATAAAATATGACAAATGATTACTTTGCCAAGTTTATGCAGAACCAAACATTCAAAGACTCCAAATTTGATCATTTTTTGGCATCAAATCACCACAGGTCCTCCTTAATATTGCTGGATCTTGAATTTGGATTAAATTAAACATAGTTTCCAGACATTCAATTTAAAAGCTAACTAATGTGTGGAAAGTAAATATATAGTGTTTAGAGAAGCGAGGGGGGGGGAGTATAATAGTGACCAATATTATCCCAATGAATTATCCAATATTAAACAAAAACTCAGTAACAATGGCTTTCTTAACACTTTGTCAATGAGTAAATAAAATTAAGGTCCAAATGATATTTATGATTGTCTACAACTTTTAGAAGAGTCATTACTATATCCAATATTTTTTTTTGATTCTTGAATCTTTTTTTTTTTTTTTTTTTTGTTCACTATAGTTAATACCTTGTTTCAGTACATTCAATCTTCAGAACAAAAGAAAAAGAAAAAAGATAGACTCTTTTTTAAAGAAAAACCAAACTGATGTATGGTGTGAAACATTGAGAAAGGAGAAGAAAAATCAAGTTATGTGAACTTACCACCACCCACTCAAAAAAGGGTTCGTGAAAGGAAAAAAGGAAAGAAACAGTGGGAGGGGGATTTTATTAGGAGAAATTGGATGCATTGTTGAAGAATGATTGGAGAAATAAATGAGTATGTGATGTGCAACTCTCCCTGGTTTACTAATTATTCACAAGGGTGTAGAAGACAGAGTGAAGTGGAAGCAAGGAGGAAGAGGAGGCAATGAAATAGAAGTGTAAAAGAGGCATTGTATTTATTTCCTTTTGTTTTCGTTTGTTTTGTCGAAAAAAAGGTCACAGCTTGAACCTTACTATTCCAGAAAAGAGAAAGAAAATACAAGTGAAAGTTTAATATATATCTACTTCTTTTTCATCTCTTTTTTTTTATCCCTATAAAAGAAGGGCAGTTGACTTTGAAATTGCAGGGACACTGATGAGTGTTGATAACTGTTCTTCTTGTTTAAATCACATGGTAAGAGAAATGTTTTATTAATGCACTCACCACAGTATCAGCAGCATCAAATCACATTCGAGGAGTACAAGAAAGCTATAACCAAAAATGAGGTGGACAAACCATAGGGAGAAGAAAACATTAGTCTTTTGGAGGATAAGGTCCAGATTAGGGAGTGAGAAGTGGATATGTTACCTACACAGATTTTAACACTATGCAGCTTTATTTGGTTGAGGAGTGTAATTTGTAATCCATGTAATGCTTGGTGCACCTTGTTCAGTGGATGCATTAATTTACAATTTCTGTCAAAATTGGGGTGGTGGGTAGAGGAAGGATTTTCTTTGTTCTCATGGATTACTCCTAAAGAGGGATGAAAAATGGAATGGTCAAAAGATGTTAACAGCAGCAATTATACAAAGAGAAGATTGAATTTTCAATCAATGTTGAAGGTTTACCATATTTTCATTATCCTGCATTTGTACTTTGTTCCTTTTATATATTTTTTCAATGAGATGGAATTGGTGAAAGAAAATCTTATTAGCTTAATTTCCTTTCAAGTTATGCATTTTTTATGTTTTTCTTTGTAGTTAAACAGGATGATTCACTAACAACAGAATTGATGATTTTAGACAGGAATCTTGAGAGAAATACTTCGAGAAGTCTTGAAGATAAATTCTGCCCAGTTCTTCCTAAGGCCTTTGTTGTGAACATTGTTGTAGGCATAGAGTCCAAGGCATGTCATACCATTCATGGTAGCCCGATGTAGTTCCTGAGAGGTGATATTCTGGCTGATAAATAAAATTTGCTGAACTAATGCTAAGAGCATGATTGAAGTGCTTACAATCACATAACAGGCTGTGACAAAACTGATTGATGTCCTGGAAGAAGAAAAGAAAAAAAGTAGGGCATTAAAAGGGAAGGTTAATCAGAAAATGTTAAACATTTAAAAAAAAAAAAAAAAAAAAAAAAATGTCATTTTGTATCAATTATATTGTCATTTTTATTTTTTTTTTTGTCAACTCTCCTGATTATTCTGTTGGTTTTTTTTTTATCACAACTTAAGTAGTCGAATACTTCCTGAATATTAAAAGAATATTTAGAAAAGAAAGTAAAGTAAGCAAGAAGAGACTTGTCAAAATTTAATAATATCAAGGCTACATCTCAGAATTCATGTAATTTAATCCTCAAGAGTAGGTGCTGAAAATTTCTCCAACCTACCAGGAAGGGGGTACCTCTAAAATTATGATCATTCAACATTTGCTGAGTTTACTATACTTTATACAATAAGAATGCTGCCTGTCTCCCCTTGTATTGCAATGGATGCTACTTGTTTTACCTGGTGTAAGGTTATTATTGGGCCTATGGGTTACTGAATGACTTGGCTTTGCCAAAACGCTGTTAAAGGGCACTGTTAAGCAGTTATAAAAATGGGACACTATTGTTTTCTATTTTCTCTTAGCATGCTTTAGTGACAACACCAACTGGGACCTTGTTCCAGGTATGAGGATATCTTTCCCCAAGTGACTGAAATTTTTCACACCTGTATATCACCCGCATAACTTTTAGTATATTGTTTACATGCATACTAATGTATTTTCTTTTGTCACTCAGTTATATGAAAACACATGAAACTATTGCCTTGTTAAAATTTATTCTATTTCCTTTCACCTCTGAATGTAATGACATACCATCATTTGCATGTGTCAATTCTGTTTGCCACTGCTTTTAGTCTAACTAGGAGCAGTGCTGCAACAGGCTATTATATTAGATAGTCAAGAGGATTTTTAAAACATGCTGTGTACAGTGTTAGAAAACAAAATTCATTATTACAGACTGTTAAAGTTATTTGTGGCAACTTAAGAGTTTGCCTAATCAAATAACATTTTACTTTTTAGTATTATTAGTTTGGTAATGTGTTGAATAAAGTTCAAAAGTTAGTTTACCAGCAAGTTTATCTGCATTACAGTGTGATTTTTGGAAGTGGATCTGGCCGAGAACTTTTCAACACCAACTCCTTGTATTTGATATTATGATAAGTGCCTATGATTAAGTTTAATTCCACTTTTTTCTTATGATGTAGATTGAAACTTGGAGTAAAAAGCAGTTTAATGCTTGTCGAAATGATTGGTTAGAAATGTTAATTTGCTTGTTCAACCAATTTTAAAAAACTATTTGTCATATTAAAAACATAGTTTACTTGAATTTTATTGGATGACTAAAAAGTAAAACTTCGAGCAGAACAAAAGGAATACAAATAAAATAAAACTGTAAAAAGAGCAATAAAGAATATATTAGAAACATTTTCAATAAAAGAATCCAAAACTAAATAAAGAATAAAAAAGGTTATAAAAAAAATTAAAATCTTTGAAAATCTAAAGTAAAAAAGAAAACTCAAGTTTATAAAATTAAGATTAAATATAATGCTGTACGGTCAGCCGATGAGCTAAAGGGCTCGCTGAACGTCCGATAATGGACCTCAATATCGGATTTCTTCCATCAACTGTTGGTTGCAGTGACTTCTACAATTGTCAAAAAGTCTGGTCGAATGCTCACATGGCTGATCTCAGATGACCAAAAATCTGCTGCAGGAGTAGGTATACCATGGCTAACGGCGGCTCTGATGGTTATATAATGAAGGAGACAACTCTTTTTAACTTTAACAGATTGTTTATACAAGGTAATCACGGGAGTGATGGACAATTATACCTTAAGACTTGAACTTTTAGTTGCTCACAATGGGCATATAATTGTTGGTCATAGGTTCATAGATGTAGCCTAGTCAGTTTTTAGGCACATTCTGATTCAAATCTAAGTGATAACTCTTCTCGGAGTTCTCCTGTGGACTTTGCTGAACAACTCTGGAATCTGCTGGTCAGTTTTGCCCAAAGTGTGGTTCTACTCTGCTCAACCTGCAGCCATGTTCTCACTGAAAGCTTCAAAATGTCTGGTTTTTATAATACTTTGCCCAAAACCAAGTTGGGGTTTGACTGGCATAGAAATATCAACCACTCCTTTGTCTCAACTGGGATTTTCCAATTTTGGGCAATTATCCAGTCTCTTAGTAGCAGTGAGAGGGTTAATCCACCCATCAAAGTCCAACTTGCCTTCTTCGGCATCTCTGACTTCCACTCATAGCTGCAACCTCCTCTTCTTCCTCCAACTTCCTTAGAAACAACCTGTTACTACACCCTTTGGGGGGTGTCAGTTGATCTGGTTGACCAATCCCTTTCTAGCGACCATAACAAGGAGCGGTCTGAACCATAACTAAAAGCTAACCATCCCAACTACTTTAAATTTTAGGTGAATTCAATTTACGGAAAAGATCACCCCTTGAAAAAAAAAAAAAAAAAAAATTATCATCATCTGGTTTCTGCTAGACATCAACAAAAGCATCAAGAAATGGCTGTATAGATTTATTTTATGGAGAAATCAAATCTCAAAAAAAAAAAGATAACATATTTAATTCTCTTTTTTTTTTTCAGGCCACATGTGACACTTCCTCTGATCATTATTTTCAAGTGAAAAATTATTATCCAAATCAGTGTTCTGTTTTAAGCCAGAACAAAACAGATGTTTTTCATCAATTGCAAACATTGGGTTTATGTGTGTCCAGCTCGAAACAGTCAAGATTTAAATGTTATATCAACCTGAGAAGTGCTTTCTGGGTCAGCCTATCCACTGCTAATATCACATAAAAATAAAATGATTAAAAAATATTTAAAGAAAAAATAAAAATAAAGTAGTAAAAATTAAACAATGCAAAATAATCAAAGAGTAAAAAATTAAAAAGAAATACATTTAACAATAGAATAAAAAGTAGATCAAAAATGTTTTTTAATTTTTTTTAAAAATTCTAATTAAAAATAAAAAAGTTGAAAGAAAATTTTTAAAAGGAATAAAAATATCAAAGTAAAAAATAAAAAAAATGTGAGAATTTCTTAAGTTAAAAAAAGAATAAATCTAAAATCTCAAAATTAATTAAAAAAAGTAAAAGCATTAAGAAAAATAACCATGAAAATTACAAAAGTTAAAAGGAAAAATTAAAAAGAAAAGAAAAAAAAAAAGAGTTGAATTGAAAGACCAACATAGATTAAAATAGTTTAATTGTAGGATTAAATTTGAAAAGAACTCACTGAAAATCAGTGTAGAGAAATCTGCAGTCATTTGGCCAGAGTATCCAATTGTAGTAGATTTCTGGGGTACACACAGTAGTGAGAGTAAGATGGGAGCCATAAATGCCACAAAAGATGAACAAAATCATTGAAACCAGAAAAGACCGATGGTTATTTGCACCAATGCAATTATCAATCCTGAAATAAATTTTAAAATATTTTTAAAATCTCATTATTTTTTTTTTTTATATATACAGTGATGTTCACCCTGTACAAGGCCCAAAAGCCACTTGTGATAGAGTAAAAGGCACATTTTATGCAGATATGTGGGGAAGATAACAGTTAACCATAGACTTGAACAGGTTAAGATTGTAGTGATCAAGAAAACATCCTCTTGGGAATTGGTTCCACAGAGCAATTGTTCATGGGAAGAGGCTGCTCAGGTGGAACTTATCACCAATAAAATACAGTGGTTTGCTACATGCAGCTTGGCAGGTCATAGCCATGAAAGTTAGAACTGGAGGGATTAAGGAATGTAGTTCATCTGAGCACTTTCCATAGAAGTAGCAATAGAGCAGTAAGAGACTTCGTCTATGAGAGAGGGGTTACAGGAGGAAAATATTCATCACCCACAAGGACCTGGAGATGCTTTTGGACTCTATTGAGATTGGAAAGTGAAGACTAGGCAGCTCCTGCCCAAATATGACAGCTGTACTCCATTTTAGGCCTGATCTAGCTCTTGTAAAGGTAGAGGATAGCAAGAGGAGGAGTCAGGTACTTATTATTGAAGGAAAGTATTAGGAGTGGTTGGGTTAGGTTTTAAAATATTTCAACCTTTGTTGGGCCATTTAACAGTGAATATCAGTCAAAAATCAAAATGACTCATGAAAAAAGTGGACATAGTGCTGGCTTGAACTAGTGTCAAAGACATAAATATCACGTTGGTGCAAAAGTAATGTCCGGTTTTTGAGTTTTAGATAGTATTTATGAAATTTGTGCTTCTCGTTATAGTTAAGGAATGTCACAATAAGTATTTTATACTTATACACTCTTTCAGATTATAAAAATATTTTTCATCATCTTCTACAATATTCGCATCCATGTTTGTCCCATCTAAAGATCACATTGGACATATCTTACTGTATGAGTTTCATAAAGGTGCTAATGCAAGTGCAGCAGCAAAGTCTATTCAGAGGTGCTTCTGGAGATGATGTCATGAATGAAAGAAATTGCAGGAGGTGGTTTTCTCATTTCCAAAATGGGGATTTTAGTTTCAAAGATGAGCAAAAAGAAGGTTATCCAAAAAATTTGATTCTGAAGAGTTGGAAACTGTTGTCACAGACAATACCACCATTACCTCTAGGGAACTTGCAAAACAATTTAACATAGACCATACAACTATGCTATGCCAATTAAAAAGCTTCAGAAAAGTTTCAGTGGTTGGGGAATGAGACCCACACAAACTGTTTCCAGAGAATCTGCAACATCATATTGCTTGTTGTGAATCATCATTTTCATGACACCTACCAGCACCATTTTTAGGTAAGCTTGTTACAGATGATGAGAAGTGGATCCTTTAACATAACATTAAATGCTGCTGATCGTGGATCAGTTGAGAAGAAAGATCAGTTCAACAACCAAGTAGAAGACTCCATCCAAAGAAGATCACGTTGAGTGCGGTGGGATACTGAAGGAATTGTCTATTATGAACTGTTAAACATTAATCAAACAATTACAGCTAACCTATACTCTGATCAACTTCATCATTTGAAAACAGCTTTGAACCAAAAGCGACCTTCCTTAGTGAACAGAAAGGGTGTCAATCATTCATCATGATAATGGTCATCCTCACACGACTCAGCTGACTAAAAATCTTTTGAAAGAGCTTAGTTGGGAAATATTGCTTCATCCACCATATTCTCCTGACCTTGCTCCTCCTAATTATCACTTATTTCAGAGACGACAGAATCATTTGGATGGGCATCAAGAGAAGAGGTTGAAAATGAGATGGATTTATATTTTGCTTCAAAACCTAAGGAATTTTACAGGCATGGCATCTATAAGCTTGTTGATAGATGGAATGTTCTAGAAAGCAAAGGATGTTAATGAATAAATATTTTCATAGTCATGGGCTTTTTCATTCTTAATATAGCCCTTGAAATTGGAGATTACTTTTGCACCAATCTGATACAACTTATTCAGATTTATTTATTTAAACTGCCTATTAATATTTATTATTTAAACATAAATAATCCCAATTAATCAAATTAATATTAAAAGCAAAAATTTATTTTTGTTTTTCACTTAATATAAGTTTTTAGTGATGCAGTCACCAGTGGCAAACTAGGTCTAAAAATATTGGTTGCCAGGAGACTGGAGACAAAGGGGGCCCACACACAACTGAAATGCTATCATTTAATTTTCATAATGAATAAATTAAAAAAAAAAAAAACATACATGAAAAAAGGGTACAATTAAAATTTTTGTGGAAAAAAAATGTGTATTTCTTAATAATTATAGTGTACATGTATTGTACATATTATTGGCAGTAGATACCAAATGTAAATTCAGAATGTTATAATTGAATTTATTTTTTAATTTTAAATAATTGGTTGATATTTTTAAGTAGTTTACTGCACAATTTACACATTAACAGTTCAAAAGCACAATAGGACATTGCATGTAGTTCACTATGTTAAGAGCAATTGTTTGTGTTCACTGGATGAATTAATCTGCCAATAATTGCTTTTGCATCCAATTCATCTGACAATTCCTTTTCAATAGATAGCAATAGTTATGATTGCAAAATTCTTAACCATGTCTTTATGACCTTCAGCTCTATAAATGTCCTCTCACATTGGACTTGAATAACTGATAGTGTGCAGATGACTTTATAAATTTCTTATTCCTTTTAATTATTAAAACAGTTGCCTTTGTTTGATTCTTTATTGTATTTTTACTTTATATAGAAGGCCCACTATTAGGGTGCCCACTTGTCATTGAGCAAGCTGATATCCTGGCCAGTCCACCATTGGCAGTCACTAGCTCAGCTAAAAGCAATGACATCCTAAATTTTCCCATGTAAATGACAAGTTGTCATCATTTATAAAGGTAAAAAAGGAGAAAAGGAATGAATTTCAACACATTGATATTTTCATGTATTTTTATATACATAACTAATAAATGATTAACTAAAGAGAGACAAATACACCAGTGTGTACACAGCTGAAAAGGAAGAAAATTAATAGGGTTAGCAGTAGTATTTGTGTGTTTGAGTGTGTGCATGTGGGTGATGCACCATGTAGCCGGGTGACTAAGTCCCCCTAAAAGGGAAAACTGGACAAGTCTTCTACCTACCGCATTCTAGACCGAAAAGAGTTAAAAGAGGAAGACCATGTCCAGTTTTTTTTATAGTTCTGAAAAAGTTCCACTAAACAGGTTTCTTGGCAAACTAAGTGGGGGGAAACCCCTACAACATCCAATTCTTGGTAGAATATATGGTGAGCTACATTGATGCACTGATTTTATTTTCTTTTTTCTCTATAAAAATAAAGAAAGAAATATCATCAAAATAACCACCTTTAAGTTATGTGTGATTTTAATCACTCCGCCATGAGAGATTTCATGCAAAACAAAGCTCAGTAAACTGTTTTTTTTTTTTTTTTTTTTTGAAATACACATCTCTTGTTAGGAACTTTCAAAGCCTATATTTGCTAATTTTATTTCTGTACTCAAAAGTGGATGAATTCATGTTGCCATTACTACTTCTAGTTCAACTAAAAGCAATGACAACCTAAATTTTCCCATGTAAATGATAGATTGTCATTATTTGTAAAGGTAAAAAGGAGAAAAGGAATAAATTTCAACACATCGATATTTTCATGTATTTTTATGTATAAAATAAGCAAAAAAAGAGAGAAAACATACCAGTATGTACACAGCTGTAAAAGAAAGAAAAAACATTAAAACTTAGCTATTGGGAAGTGTGTGTGTGTGTGTGTGTGTGTGTGATAAGCATGTGTAAAAGTTCAGTCATCAGTCACCTGGGGAAAAGATTTTATCATCAGTGCAGACAAGGAGCATATTGACATTGCTACATCTTGGAGCAAAAGAAAGGACGAGAGAAAGGAAGGGATATGTTCATTCTTTTATAGTACTTAAACAGTAGCAACTAACTTTACTTTTCAAAAATGTTGGCTGGTAACTTTTGCACACACTTAATGTCTTCTGCCCAATTCTCTAATTTCTATTTTCATTTCAGAGAGTAAAATTCTATGATGAAAAAGTAAAAACCTTTCATTTTGGACTGAAACTTTCTCAAAATTTTGGATTTATTTCCTTTTCTGTAAGACTTACTGTCTAACCACTCTCACAATATCTTTGCTTCATTAATTAACTTACAGTAATTTCTTGATACATGCAAAGTCTCATTGTAGCCTTGTTCTTTCTATTAATATGATGCTGCTTTCCATTTATACAGTTTTACCAATGGCTCTTTTTATGGTGGTGGTGGTGGTGGTGGTGGTACTACATCTGTCAACCTATTTATTTCTTTTTGCTTCATCTCCAAAACTGTACAATTAATTTGGACAAGTATTTTTAAATTCAATTCTGACGCTTTTAGTTCTATAGAATGCAAGTAAAAATGATATCAACAAGATTTTACATCAGACACATTGCCTTAAGAAGACAAGAAAATGGGCAGAAAAAATAAGCATTCAGAAAACACTGAATGCAAAATAAATAAAATAAAATAAAGCCATCTTAAAAACTTCAATGAAAACCAGTCCAAATTCTTGTATTTGGAAAAGTCATTGTTATGTCCAATGGTAACCCTAGAAAAGATTACTCAAATTTCAAAGAACTATGATTCAAGGACATCTAACTCCTACTTAAAAACAAAAGGAAAGAAGGAAAGAAGTAAGATGAAGGAGTAAGAAGCAAACAGGAGCAAAAGAAGAAGGAAAAAGAAATAAAGGTGAAGAAGAAAGAAACGAGAAGAACAAATAAGAGAATTATTTTCTCTTTCTGTCTTAGCAAACAGTAGTACAATACCAAAAGAATCCCTCAAAAGTGTTAGCCACAAGAAAGAGAGATCCAAGGATATACAGTTGATGTAGTTCAGAGCAAATGTTTCCCATCAGTTTGGTTGCAGGTGTTGCTAGAAGCAAGTTAAAGCTGATATCCATTTGTAAGATTGAAGTATCTGATTTGAAATCACAGTTGCCTGTCACCTACACTGGTTGGTAAACAGTCTACCATGCTATTTACTTATGACCAAAGGGTGTTATAACTACTAAAGCTATAAAAGTTGGTGCAAACAGAAAGTACAAAACCTGGCCTATATTTGACATTTTAAGGGCAAATGAAAATCAATGCTACAAAAGCATTTTGTAGACCTACCAAACACAATGATGATCTCTGACTGCAATGCAGGAATTACAAACATAACAATGTCCTGTCCGAGGTGGTCTTTTGTAGGTTGCAAAAATCCGCACTAAGTGATCAAATGATGACCTGAAAAACAAAATATTATGATTATGATTCTTATTAACTTGGTTTAAAAAATGAATCATTAACAAACAAGTCTATATTGCTTAAAAATTTAAAATATATTTCTTTCTATGTGCTATGGGCGATTGTGGTTCTCCACTATCTCCTGTCTTTGTAGCTGTTAGTAATGTGTCTTTTTCCTATTTATCCTAATCCCTGTTCTGCCAACCATTTACACAAGCTTGTTATGTAGCTTATGCACTACTTTCTTCTTTCCCTCTTGCCTTTAATGTCCTGTGAGTGTTAAATTTTCTAAGCCTTCTTTTCTTCATTATGTACCTTACAAATTTCAACCATTTTTCTCTGATTTAAATGTATAAGTTTCCTTTTTTGTTTCCATTTTCCTAAATTTGTCTTGATCACAGACTCAGTCCATGGTATTCTCAAAATCTTTCTGTAGAACCACAGTTCTATTGCCTCAAGTCTACTTCATCTTGAGGATATTGTCCAGCATCCACTGTCATATAAGAGAACTGATATTACATAAGAGAACTGATATAATAAGAGTTCAATATTTTTTCTTTGTTTCTAATGAAATTTTCCTGTTTCTTAAAACTTTGCTTAATTTTGAAAGGCATTTTTGCTGTTCTAATGTGCCTTTAGAAATTTAAACTATTATCCATCCTTTGAGGTCTCCAATTTGTATTTTGCATCTTAATTAATGTTCACATGTTGGACTCTCATTTTTCTGTTTTCTCAAAAATTAATGGTTGTCCTTTCTTCTTGTTTTTTCAATTTTCTTCTAAATTCATTGTGTTTGTTATCAACCCTGTGTCAATCTGAATATCTTATAAATGTTAAAAAAAAATGTTTTTAAAATACCTAATCTATAGTTTTTTCCTTTTTCTTGTTTGTCCAGTTTCTATCCATTACATTCAGTTCTTGTAGTTTACTTTAGTGTTTGCATATCTCCTCTTGTTCTCCTTGCCAGCTTGGGTAAATAGAATCTGAACAGGTTCTATAGCCTTGATGGCAACTAGTCTACACAGAAAGAAATGGCAACCTACTGTTTTTTCTAAAAATACTTTTGTCAGTCATGTATCAAAAGATACATGATTGCTAAGGTTCCGCATCACACATGGACTGATAATGCTAAAAGGCTGGCAATCTCAGTCCCATTTTGTACTGTTGAACAGATTAAAATGACAGATAATCCCCAACAAATTTAAAAGCATATTGTGCCTTGAACCCCCTTAAAATTAGACAACTCCTTTCTTAATTAGAGGCCATTTTAAACTTCAAATTTCAGCAATTTCATAAGAAATTCAATTTTTGAATTTAAATACATATTCTTTTATCCTTTTCTCTATAAACCTTCTTTAATAAATTCCCAACTCTTATGTAACCCCTTAAAATAATAAACATTTATCTTGTACATTATAACAAATTATTAAAAAAAAATTAGACAATGTAAAATTCACTATAATAAAACAAATATTTTTTTTTTTAAAAAATACATTTGGCAAATATTTAAAAATTGAAGATGATATAGGCCAACTGTTTGTAAAATATAATTGTAATGGCTGAAAATTGTCTCACATGACATGATTTAAATATTTGATGTTTTGTAAACTGATTTGCACTTTTATAAAAACTGATAAGGAAGAAACAAGTATGTATAATAAAAAATTTAATTTAAAAAATAAAAGGTTAAACTTAAACTAGGTACATCCTAGAGGTATCCATACTTTGTTAAGAGAGTCCAGTCTGACCCTTCTGTCCCTTTGTTTGTTTATTTTTAAAGGAATAATTTCAAAGGAATAGAATAAATAAAAAATTGGTATAAAATGTCACCTTTTAGGGCTACTATTACTTGAATGGAAAGGCCTTTTTGGAAAACTGTGAACTGCTTTTTTGTAGGAACCTAACAGGCCCAAACCATTTCACCAATATGTTTAAAACACTTTTTTTATTAAATATTTCAAAAACCTTTTTTGCAAATTTTAAGATTGGTTGGTTGATTTTTATTTAAAATATCAAATGGATTATTTAATGGCAAAATTAAATATTTTTTGTACATAATTTTATTCTTCAGAGGATAACAAAATAAAACTGCCTTTTTTTGATATATAGTCAAGAATGTCATAAAATGTTAACCTTACATGTTGTTGTTCCATTTTTAATTATTGCTCAAAGCTAAAAAAATGTATTAATATTCAAAGTTGATAAATAATAAACCTAATAATTTTTAGTTGAATGTATTGTTTATAATTTTTAGTGTTGTATTTTTATTCTTTTAATTTCATTGTATAGATTACATTTTACTATGTTATTTACTCAAGAGTTTTGTATACAGCTCACTATTTACCCATCAGATGGGACACTAACATCTTGCTACCACCCTGAGTGTATATAAATATAAACAACAGGAGTCTGTATACTTTTCCATACACATCAAGTCTGAAGTACTTTTTCATCCATACTCAGGATAAATCATTTTATAAATATATGCTATGAAAATGGAGTTTGTATTTGCCATATGCTCATTTAAGAGTTTGTATAAAAATTTTCTCCCACCTTTTAACTTTTATAAAAACTTCACAAAAAAAAAAAAAACTTTTTAAAATTTATCTGGAGTTTTTAATTTTTATTAATATGAAAATGAAATTTAATGTTGTGCTTCAATTATTTCTCTGGAAATTAGATGCTCATGCAGGGTTCAACAACCCTTTATCCAACAGAATGATAGTCTGAAAAGCACTATTTTATCACATATCAGGACCATGTATACTGCTTTTTTAGCAGCAGTTTTGAATCCAGATACACAATTTCAAAAAGACTGTATCTGCAGAAGATCAGACATATTACTGATGAAACACACTACTGTGCTCACATCCACCATTTGAAGTCCATGTATGTCCTTTTTATACATATCAAAGTTTGATACTGCTTGCCTATTTTTGTACAGATCTCTATGCCATCAAACGTTTGAAAAATTGCTCTATGCCTATCAAAATGAAAAAAAAAAAAAAATCAGTAGTTTGTTTTTGGAAGGCTCTTCTTCACTGCCACCACCAAACATCAAAGTTTGTATATTATGGGTCTGGATGCTACAGGAGTTTATTCTGCCATATGCCCATCATAACAACAAAATTTAGAATTTTTCCCATCAGCAATACAGTTTTATGCCCTTGAAATGATCTGTATTGCTAAAAAACATCAGGTCCATATCTAATAGATGAGATGCTCATCATCATTTGTATACTGCTTTATGACCAAAGAAATTCTTAATATTGACAGTCACATACAGCATCAGTCAAATTTATACTGTTCTATGTTTTCAGAGCTCCAGCAGAGTTTGTTTGAACACACATGAGATAATAATATAAGCTGTATACTGTCCATATTGACCAGGAGTCATTTTCAATATCTTATTTTCATCAGAGTCTGTATATTATTATATTCTTAAAAAAATTGATTTTGTCTTGGTTATTTTATGACACATCAACCCTTGTTACTGCTCTATAAATGAGGGGAGTCTATACGCTCTATGCCCATCAGGTCTGTATGCTTTTACAGTTCACATGTGTGGATACTTCTTATAGTGTCTGTTTTTTTACCTTGAATATCTTAAAAAAAAAAATAATCAAGAGGAGACAGGAAGAACAGCAGCTGAAACTCTGTAATAGGAAAAAAACAAAGACCTTGTACAAAGGTTTTGAATAACAATACCTGTCTAAAGAGACTGACAAAAATTTTTACAATTCCATAAAACAATTCTACTTCATTTGTCTGAAGCATTGATGAAAATATCCTTATTTTCTACTAAATGTTTAATACATTTACCAGAAAGTTCATTGTACCAAAAGAATTTAATTTGAACAAGGATTTGTTACTGTAAGCAACATGCAGTTTCATATCAGATTTAAATGAAATAAATAAACAGTTCAAAAAATTCTGCTAAAATTAGTGAACCGTGGATAACCTAAAAAAAAATTATCAACAATTAGGATGTTATAATTACTATACAATTATTGGGATGTAGCATAAGTATTTTCAGTTTTAATCAACTGTATATTTGTTTAAATCAAACTTTATACATAAAATAACATTAACTCTACTATGTTTATATATTTCAAGTATTGGTATCAGTTTTACATCTACTTGGCATTTTAAATCATCATAATCAGTAACTGATTACTCATCTACTTTTGCAAACAACTTCAACTAAAGTAGCAATAAGAAAGCAAAATTATGTAATGTGAAATTGTATCAAAACTATTTTCATTTTAATGAATAATTTTTTTTTAAAAGACATTTCAATGATCCCTGCTCTTCTAAAAGTTTATAGACCTTTACTCAAAGCTAATTTCATGAATCTTATGTAATGCTCTACATATGGTATCTTTTGATGATCCTAGCTCTTCTGAAAGTTTATAGACCTTTACTCCAAAAGCTAATTTCATTTTAATCTTATGTAATCCTCACATATGGTATCTTTTGTGATCCTAGCTCTTCTGAAAGTTTAAAGACCTTTATTCCAAAGCTAATTTCATGAAGTCTTATGTAATGCAGCACATATGGTATCTTTTGATGATCCAGCATTCTTCAGGTTTGAATTTTGAATTGAACCCAGAAATTTAAACCAATATCACCTGAAGAAAGCTAGAGTTTATTGCCTGAAATGTTGTGAATGTCACAATAAAAGATGAGAACATTTCAAAGAATGTAAATAGTATAAATAGTTACAATACCTCATCCCAGAAATATAGACAGATGTTGAGAATTAATAGGTTAAATAAAACCTATATGTAGATGAACTCATTCATCAAGCCTTTAAAATTTATAAATTAACAATTTTTTTTTTTTATGAGAGAAAAGGGCGATCATATTAGTTCAAATTGATAGATCAGACATTTTCAAATTTCATGAAAAAATGAAAAATTCATTAAATTCTTTTTAATGTGTAAAAAAAAAATCTACAAGGGGCCATATTGATTTTAAGATGAAAACTGAATGTATGA